ATAAACAGATACAGTCATCGGTGAAATGGAAAAGCGCTTCAGCGTTTCACAATCAGTGAACCTCTGAGCCGTCCGACTTCGCTTCATCATGATGGCAAGTGACCCAGGTTAAACTGTACGGCAGTGATTTTCTTATGGCTTTAAATTTGATATATTAAATTGTGACTTAATGTCATTAAGTGTTAATTAAATGTGTTGGATGTTAATTACATGCAGTAATTTTGTAGTGATTAAATTATTTATGGAAAGGCTCCCTGCCCCTGAAAAATGAGTCTGGCTTGTGAGAAAATGTACTCTTTCTACAAAGGCAATACCTGCAACTTTATACATCATTAATCAGAATACAATCCGATTCAGTCAAAAATAAGTATGCACAACCATAGCCATACGACGTCTGTATAAAGTTACAAACGTGAATAACTGGTGCAGACAGTAAGTTCAGACGATATCACGGAATTATATAAATAGATACATTACAGTGATGCATACAAACACGTTCGCGCATATGGACACAGGAGTACAAAACTACATACATGCTATAGGAATAGGTTTTACCCTTTTAACTGGCACAAAAACTGACACCTTTATTCAAGGCATCATGAATGTAAATGCTCACCCCGAGCCCTCAATACTGTGATAGTGTGCTGGTTTTTGAGTTGTACGCCTTTTGGCGTCTTCTGGTCCAACACCAATGGAGACTAGGCTCTAAGAAAAGCCGTCTCGGGTGTGGACCAATCAAATTCAAGGACAGTGCATATTATTATTATCAGAGTTGTCTCTTTTGTTTGCATTTTGACTGCTTGCGTTGTGGTTATTGCAAACATGATGCCTTGAATAAAGGTGTCAGTTTTTGTGCCAGTTAAAGGGGTAAAACCTATTCCTATATCTTGTTACTGGCAAAGGAGGTCTCATAATGTAAATACATACATGCTGTAACAGCCAACGTGTCACAAGAATAGTTTGCTCTGATAAAAAATGTTAGATTTGATGCAAAATTTGTCAGTTATTACTTGTACACTTCAACGAGTAAGACAAAACCGGTTGGCTCTGTCGGAGACAGTTTTGTTGTGTGCGGTCAGGGGGATATGCGCAGGAAAATCGGGGTGTTTGCATGGCTTTCTTTAGTCTACTAAATTTAACTACGGGCGCTCCTCAAGACTTTGTCAGGTTACGTTCCAAGAAAATGTGCCGCAAGTCGAGACCGATTTTCAGAGCTAAATTATATACTCGGTGCTTACATTCCCGACCAAGAGTCCGATATGCATCGAGATGTGAACACAACCACGAATAATATATAAAGTACAATAACAGTGTTTATAAAGTTCTTTAACCGGATTCTGATTTCTGGCTTATTTGGACTGAATACAGTCATTGCCTTTCTGCTACGTTTATTTTCAACACCATTGCTAGAGGATTAAATTAATTTAAAAAATGCTTTAAAGTCACTAAGGATGCCGAGAGGTTTCACACCGGAGCACATTGGCAGGCACACTAAGTAGGCGACGTACTGTATATTTGTCTGTGTGCAGAACCGGCGCCTGAGTCAGCGTCGTGCCCTAAGTGTGGGTTCCAACCGACATAAGTAATAACACGGGTGGAAATTGTCGACTTGCCGTAAGTTTGAATCGACATAAATCAAACTGACTTAAGGCGAGGGCTGCCTGTACAGGTATCCCTCGATTTACAAACGTTCGGTTTTACGAACTTTTGCGTAAATGCAATTGACAAATTGTGGACACTTGACGATTCACGAAATCGAATTTCAGCATGAACGGATATTACACAGAGCACGCGCCATGAGATCAAACAATAACCACCCGGGAGCCTGCGTTATCCATCCACGACAGTGTCATGGCATCCCTAGAGTGCAACAGTAATGCTTGCACATCACCTGTGACGTGAGTTCCCTGACTGGGGGGTTAATTATTTTTGTTTTAAAATAATTATTATTCTATAGTTTAATGTTTATGTTCTTTACTATATTTGTATTATAAAAAAGTTATATATGTGTGTATATTTGTAGATTAGCAGTAGAGTTGGAATGATTGCCCAAAAGACATCCCTAATTTATTGTGCCAAATTAATGCGAAACTCCATTCCCATCACGTGTTTTTGGAAGAATGCATCCCTATCCGTAAATCGGAATAAGTGTACAGTATTGCCGAATTTCGTGATCAAACACTGCCCTCTGCTGGTCTGACGATTAACTCTGCTAATAGTGATGTACCTGCATTAATGGCAATAAGCCGACGTTTTCACATGTATCAATAAAAATGCTAATCACAAAACAAGATGTTTTGACATCTGACATTTCTTTGAGCGAGTGCAAATGAACAAAAGTATTTGAATAAAAGACTACAGGGCCAAACAAGCAACTTTGATATTCCGCCTCAGAGCAAATTGAAATGACATTTAATGTTTGCACCATATGTAACTTAGGCATTTAAAATTAAGACTGAACATGCATGCAATGCTGGATTGTAATAAACAGCAGACATTACTTAATAGCATTGACCTCAAGGGCAAATCTGAAAGCTGTAGCAGATGTTTTTAAATGCATTTTTCCAAAAGATAATCTATATACGTGCCGTCAATATTTACTTCCAAATGCCATCAAGCGGATTATATTATACTTATGTTTTCTGCTTTATGGTTGCACCTGATAAAACCCTGCTGAAACGGACTGAAGAAGAAACATCGATTTTAATTTTTTTAGAGGATAATATATATCCTACCTCACTCCTGTCACTTTTAATGTTGAAAAATGAATGACTCATCACGTCTAACATTTATATATGACTCCTGTCGCAAAGATTCTCGAGGGTTGGATTTTGACATCCTGTCCCAAAATACAACTTAAACATGTCTTATAAATGTAGAGGTAAGCGATGCATGTTATTTAACACATACACAGAAGAAACTGGTAAATGTGAAAGGCTGAACTACTGGTGAATACATTTAGATTTAAAGCTTTCGGGACTGCAGGGATTCATATTCTTGGTTCTTTCGGTAAAGTCACGTAGAAGGGAAACAATAAAATAATAAAAATATAAAACAATAACATTCTCACGACGTTTCGACTGCAACACAAGCAATCATCATCAGGTGTGAAAACCACAACAAGAAAATTTGAAAAATGTTAATATTTTTCTTGTTGTGGTTTTCACACCTGATGATGATTGCTTGTGTTGCAGTCGAAACGTCGTGAGAATTTGATTGTTTTATATTTTTATTATTTTATTGTTTCCCTTCTACTTTTGGATAAGTGAAATAGTTTGAGAACCGCCTACGCAGAGTAAGCAGTTATAAAAATACATACACTGCATGCGTAAATTACATTCATAAATCTACAAAACTGCTCATCAGTTTGTCCAGAAAACTCTGAGACCGCTCTACCAACTCCAATGAACATGCATTTGGAAGCTTATGAAGTGCAGTTCATGTGAATAAGGTCGACTTCATATATTTATGTTTTTACCTGATAATTCGGCGTATCAACCTCAATGCTGGATATCAGATTGACCATCTAGAATAGCATGACAGAGAAAATCATTTATAAGATAAATGTACAGATCGCCCTGCATGCCAGCATGCTCATGGCAATGCTGGCAAAAAGGCCTCCATTTTAGGGAACTCAAGAGACCAACACATCCGATGAGCACAACTGGCTACATATGGTGTGAAAGAAGTTCAACATACAGTACATACATACGAGGGGGTAATTTGCTTCCTCTACCATGCTGGTGAAATATTGGAAAAAGTAGGAATACCCATACTCTATCCCACCACATGCAACGTGCCAATCACCTAACTGCGAAATACCTATTTATACTGCTTGGTGGACAGAGGAGAAGAGGTTGAAAAAACATGCCCATGGTTTCAACTGTGGCACGAGAAGGTCCAATCAAACCGGAAATCTCTAAATTCCAAGTCTAACCAGGTGCAAACTATAACACCGCAGCATCTATAATTCTTGATATGTTCTTTTAAAAAAATGTCACACTCATAACCTGGTAAAAAATATACAAATCCTTTACATTGTTTTAATTAAATGTATTTAAGATACAAGGAATAAAAAGAATAATGCACACATGACAACGTTCGTAAAGCTCTAGTCAGGAAACTACGATGAATCTAAAGCAGTGCTCTAAAACCTAAAGAGACAACTCCGATTGGAAGTTTCTCAACTTATACATTCATGGCAAGTTTGATTCAATTTGGTTATTGTTCGTATATTTTAATGGAAACACAGCTAAGTAGTTGTTCAAGCAACTGGTCCCACAACAAATCTCAAGCCTGCCAAAAGAGCACGATAAATATCCAAGCATGAAGACCTTAGGCTAACAAATTTATGAGGGTGAATCAGGACACATGGTTGAGCTGGCAGTCCTCCCTCGTTCAGCCCCACAAAATTTTACTTGGTCACACCCACTCAATTACTATCCCTGCCCACAGTGGCCTCACCCATTCTGTCGGCCACCCTACCGATCATAGGCCCCACCAACTCCTCTGTTAGTCCCACCCACAACTCAGGTAGGCCCACCCTTAACACACATCGTGAATTGAGCATGAGGCCATAAAATCTTAAACTGACAAAGAAAATCAAGATTTTCACAAAAGCTTCCAGACAATGGGAGAGCCTTCCTTAAAGCAAGTCTGTCAAAGCCAAATCAATACATCTGGTCGCCTAATGAAGGCCCTGTGACTTTTGTGGTGCCAAGGTCACAAGATGTTAATTCTCTCGCCTGGTATGCAGGTCGAGAGCTTGATCCCGACCCCGATGCCTGTATATTTTGGGTTTTCATGTTCTCCCGTGGTCATGTGGTTTTTTTCTCCGGGTCCTCTTGTTTTTAGAGTATTTGGCTGCTAAAATTCCTACGTGATAAGCAACTTCGTTGGGCTATGATTTATAGCCAGGTCTCTTCTAAAAAAAGCGCTATGGAGCCCAGTGGGCCTTACCTGGTAAAATACAAGAAAATATAGTTAATAGCTTAGTTTACCTGTGCACAGTAGACCATCTTTGTAGTAGAGGGCATAGACACGCGCACTGTGTCCCAGAAGCGAGGAGGTCTCAAAGGCCTGCTGCTTTCGCAGCTGACGCAGCCGCCGGTTGGCCTGGATGTAGGCGCACTTCCAGTGGCGGCCATCCTGCGTGCTGCACTCATCCGGAACTCGCCAGCCCAGCTCACGACATGCAGATAACCACACTTCGCTACAGCCGTTCACCACCTGTAAGAGATATGGTGGCATGACTTAAAGACAGTGACTGGAGCTTTTGTTGCCGGAAAAAAGGGGGGAAAACCTATTTTCTTATAGTGACTGTGGAGTGCCACACACTGGGTTATAAGTGTGATGCCTCTGATGGCTGAAAATAAAAATAAAACATTTTATGAGCACAACAGAAATGGATAAACACGTGACCTTTTTTTAGCACCATGATTATTAACCAATATACAAAATATAAATAACTTTCACAACCCGCACGGCGTGAGGAGGCCCTCACGAGGTAGTGGACTGATAAAACAGGCTCTACATTGACATATACTGTATATATGCAATATTCGTTGGAGAACATATATGTCCAACAGGGATGTAATGAATTAGACTGAATTTGTTACACTTACAATGCCTTTGTGCATTAAAGAGGTTTTTTGTTACAATACTTAAGTGTAGATTATTGGTTCATGGAAAACATGCAGCCAATGTGATTCTATATACACAATAAAAAAGTCAATCAAATCCTGTCCTGGAATAATTAATATAAATATAATCAACTAAGTTTCATACAGCGTCTTTCAAATTAGTATACTCAAATATGATCAAGGAGGCAGTGAATTGTTACATCGCTAATGTCTAATAAATACATCTCTTTCCTTTAGTTACTTTACTTTCTACCATGTCCTCGTAAAAAAGTTGACTTTCGATGTCCATTGTTTCGAAAACTACAGGGCGCTACCTACAGAGACATGCCCGCTCAGAGATATTCAAAAACTGTTACGTAAAAAAAAATCTGGCATATCTATCGCAATGATAAATGTTTCCAAATAAAATACTGATTGTCAGCATATTTTACATGCTCATTATTTTTTTAAATAATCATCCATTTGATTCAAATGTAACAATTTTTTTTTTTCCCAAAGCCACTACACCATCCTACACCTGCAGGGCATGCAAATAACATCAAACACTGCTTGTTCATGTAATGAATGGCTAAGGAATAACGAAAAGTTTTGCAATATCATTTTATAGCAGTACATTTTTGGTGGAGCTGTGGCTTTGCAATAGTCTGCACATTGCACTATCAACCTAGCAACCCGATTTCCATTTCGAGTCATGGCCAACATCAATGGCGAGTGATATTTGAATCAGTTTGGGGTGCCCCTTTTACAACCCACTCTAGTGTAGAGAACTATGGTCAAACAATCCTTGCGACCATCACAGATTGTGGAGGGCCTTACCTAAAATGGGTAGAAGCATATTCATTTAAGGTTAAAATATCATGTCAAAGCCGTTCACGCCACCACACCTCGCCAATGCGTTTACCCTCCACAATTCCTACAGCTGCTGTTCAATGACGCCCAACCTCCACGATATCCCCGAGGAGTATCACACCATCAGTTTTTCTTCTAATTCCGTTGTGATGACATGTACATCATCAAGAGAGAACCAGAAGAAAAAATAAAATAACTTTATCGGTACTGAGGTTCCCGCAAGGCCATGCAGGGCATGTGGCACAGTTTAACGCCAGCTATCATAGTGCGGTCGTGTCACTACAGTTCTCTGCAATGAGGACAATGTATTTAAAAACAATGGAGCTATGCCTCTCGAAAAAAATTTAACGCTGAACCACTTGTGCGTTCCGAGATTCAGTGATGAACGGAACGGACCCTGCAACTTGCAGTCTTCTCGGAATGGTAAAGGGTTAAGGACCAAAAGTATGGTGTAAATCCGTGCACCAATGTGGATATGTATATATAACAGCATGCGACACAGAGCTCAGCGAGAACGATGGAAAAAGCGGGTATGGCCACCCCAGCATAAACGCCCCTACAGAGGGCCTTACGCAGCGACCTTATTCCACGAGCGGCACACTAGGCAGCACGTGAGCAGGCTCCTGGGGTCCAGCCATTTGAGCAGGTGAAAGCTGAGCTCCAGCGGCAGCAGGCGCAGGAAGTCACGCTTCAGCAGTGACTCGAGCTGCGTCGACAGGTGCCGCAGTTGCGTGGGGCCGCTGCTGGCAATGAGGACGTCCAGAACAGCGTTGCGCTGCCCGTCCGACAGCGACACGAAGCCCCGCGACACCTGCTGCAGCCACGACTCAAACTCGCACCCCTCCATAACACGGCCCACATCACTGTAAGATACACACACCATGTGGCAGTCACAATATATTTCCCGGCTCTCACGACGAAATATAAGTCAGCCGTGTGGCACCTCCAATAAGTACGGTTGGCTACGCACAGGTGTGAAAGAAGTTAAACATAAATATGTCAAATGTCAAACTTTATTAACCGGTGTAATGATTAGATGTAGGTTTCCACGTTTTTGCTGTACAGCTAACCTACATGTTTCCAGATTGTACCGCATCTTGTTCTTCAGTACATGAAACATTTAGTATGAGGCTTTTGGGGATAAATCATTAATGACAAAGATTAGTTCAGTAAAATGCACACCACTGAATAAAAGCTAGTATATTTAAACAGGTGATAACCCAGTGAGATTATATGCTTTGGGATGGCTTGAAATGTAGAAGTTAGGACATAACTTGGGTTTTAATCAGTCAATATTTATCTTTCTGTCATTGATAGAAATGTAGATAGATGTAGCCGCATCATCAGTCGTGATCTATCCACACCTAGATTAATGCCTCCCCAAGCCATTACTACCTTGGAATGCAAGAATCCATCTAGCTCCTCCACTTGAGCTGATCTCATTCCTCCATCTCCGTGGTGGATGTGCTCTTGGGCATGTTCTCTCTTTTGGCTGCCACTGTCATTAAGCTCAGCCACCAGCCATCATCCTTTCTATGACCAAGCTCACTTTCATAAAGTCAGTGTCTCTAATGTGTGTGTTCCCTGATCAATGTGTTCTTCTTTGTGTCTCAGTATAATTCTAAGCAGGATCCTCTCCACGCTTAATTACGCACTTTCACAAATTGTTACATTTTCTGCCAGATTCCTTGTATCCGATCCATGTCACACATGTTCATACACACTGACCGAAATGTTTCATATTTAGGCACATCAGTATGTACTCCAACCTGCTCTCATCCGTCTATTTATTTGACATTGGTAAGCATACTTTGATCTGTTTAACAGTTGTGTTCCTCCAATAAACATCTTCAATAGTGTTGTGAACTTGCTCATTCATCCTGTGCCCAAATTCACAGGCCTTCCGATGTCAATTCTCAAGTCTCTGTGAAACACTTTGATAAAAGTGTTTCGTATTCCGACTCCCGCTTCTCATATGTAGTGTTACTTTCTTCATGTGGTGTTCCATCCTTGTCAACTGTTTTAATTTCGAAATATATTTTTACTTCAGCCTCAGTTTTGAAGCAGCTTGGATGGCGGATGGCTACAAAAAATTACATTGGTTGAAATTCCCTTTCATACATACTCTACATAACCCAGGCACAAAATTTAAAATGTATTTATATTTTCCAGAATGTCATTTCGTTGGCTAATTGTTCCATTGTTCCCAATTATGTTAATCTTACCTATAAAAGGCATTCTTTGTCTGTCCGTCTGTATGAAAATTGCGAAGGATTTGGCTCGCAAATCGTGGGTTTTACGTTTTTAAAAAGTAGCCCTGGTCCCACGCCATAAACAGTGGTAGTTAAAGTAACAATTTAGTGCTATTTATTATGTATTTCCTTACGCCGCACTGCGAGCGCCAAAGCACGCATTTGCGCATGCGTGACAAATCTGACCGGGGGTTGCCCCGAGCAATGCACACATGTTCGTTTGGAGGGGGGAAAAATTCTCTTTCACGTTAAAAATGGGAGAAAAAAAATACACACAACGCTGAGGTAAATTGTTCAAAGTATCATATCCTCTTCTCTCCCCCCCCCCACCCCAATGTGTGCACTTACTACTATAGGGTCGGTAGATACTACTATTATAGCACTTAGATACTATTATTGTAGAGTAAGCGGGGGGGATGGTGGGGGGGGGCGTGGGTAGCGGCCAGCCTGCCAAGGTGCCACCTCGGCCGGCTGGGCAATCTAGGCGAGGCCGGGGGCTCTGCATGGGACTAGGCCTCACGACGGCACTCTGTCAAGTTAGTAGTTTGTGCTATAGAGTCGATATATACTGCTATAGAGTCAGCATGTACTACTGTAGTGATAGCAGGTACCACCACCAGTCAGTATGCACTGCTTTAGTGATAGCAGGTACCACCACAGTCGGTATGCACTGCTGTAGTCATAGCAGGTACAACCAGTCAGTATGCACTGCTGTAGTCATAGCAGGTACCACCAGTCAGTATGCACTGCTGTAGTGAAAGCAGATACCACCAAAGTCGGTATGCACTGCTGTAGTGAAAGCAGATACCACCAAAGTCGGTATGCACTGCTGTAGTGAAAGCAGGTACCACCAATCGGTATGCACTGCTGTAGTCATAGCAGGTACCACCAGTCAGTATGCACTGCTGTAGTCATAGCAGGTACAACCAGTCAGTATGCACTGCTGTAGTGAAAGCAGGTACCACCACAGTCGGTATGCACTGCTGTAGTGAAAGCAGGTACCACCACAGTCGGTATGCACTGCTGTAGTCATAGCAGGTACCACCACAGTCGATATGCACTGCTGGAGTGATAGCAGGTACCACCAAAGTCGGTATGCACTGCTGTAGTGATAGCAGGTACCACCACAGTCGGTATGCACTGCTGTAGTGAAAGCAGGTACCACCAAAGTCGGTATGCACTGCTGTAGTGAAAGCAGGTACCACCACAGTCAGTATGCACTGCTGTAGTGATAGCAGGTACCACCACAGTCGATATGCATTGCTGTCGTGAAAGCAGGTACCACCAAAGTTGGTATGCACTGCTGTAGTGAAAGCAGGCACCACCACAGTCAGTATGCACTGCTGTAGTGATAGCAGGTACCACCAGTCAGAATGAATTGCTGTAGTCATAGGATACCATCAGTCGGTATGCACTGCTGTAGTTAAAGCAGGTACCACCAGTCAGTATGCACTGATGTGATAGCAGGTACCACCACAGTCAGTATGCACTGCTGTCGTGAAAGCAGGTACCAGCAAAGTTGGTATGCACTGCTGTAGTGAAAGCAGGTACCACCAGTCGGTATGCACTGCTGTAGTGAAAGCAGGTACCACCACAGTCGGTATGCACTGCTGTTGTGATAGTAGATACTAAAACAGTCAGTATATACCACTACGGTCAGTAAATACTGCTAGTCAGTAGATACTACTGTCAGTAGCTATTGCTATAGTCAGTAGATACTACTATAGAGTCAGTAGATACTGCTGTAGAGTTAGTAATTAATATTATAGTCAGTGGATCCTACTATAGTCAGCAGATACTACTATAGAGTTAGTAGTTACTACTATAGAGTCGGTAGATACTACTGTAGGGCCAGTAGTTACTACTGTCAGTAGTTACTACAGTCAGTAATTACTATTAATCAGTAGCTACTACTAGTCAATAGATACTACTTACTCTGTAGTTGTATGTAGTGTGTAGGTATATATATCTACGCGGGGGTAAAAAAAATATTATTTGAGGGGGGGGGGGAGGTCGACAATTTTCTGAAAAAACTTTTACATCAACTATTTGCCCCCCACTTTCTATTACTTTGTGTACTTCTCCAAGCCTCTTGTGATTTTGTTGATATAGTAAAATGGACAAACGTCCTACCGGGCTTTCACAATAGCTCAGTATCTGTGTATGTCTTTGGTTCGTTCGGTAAAGTCACGTAACGTAGGATATCCTGCAGTCACAAAAGCTTCAAATAAAGATTGTACATGTAAAGTTTTGAAAATAAGTTTTGAAATATATTTTTCTCCCGGGCAGCGCCGTGTACTGCCCGCTAGTAAATCACAGGGGGCTAACGCGTCTGTAATCCTTGTCATCAGTTATTGTGTTAACCTTTTTGAATCGAAGGGTGACTGAGCATATGATGCATAATAACTTTTCTAAATACGTGTCAGGCGATGGGTCATTTAAATCAATCACGGATAAAAGGAGTGACAGACCATTCGCACAGCAGTTGCTATATAATACTGTACAACTTATGCAGTTTCATTTGTATGGGGGGGGGGCGTTAACGAATGTAATACTAAACTTAAATTGCTTCGAATTACACGAGTGTTAAATTACCTCAAGTTATTATCAGCAACTGGCTGGATCCTATTCACAAGAGCCCTTAAAGTGCACAGGCTACAATTAGCGCGACCGTGCACAAGGAAACTCAATTGCATGACCTTATCATGGGTTCAATACAATTAAAAGCGGCGCGAAACGTTTTAAATCATCGTTAACGGCGCATTTCACGACGGCAAAGAAAGGCCGCAAACATTATCCACACCACGGGCATCTCGTCAGAATAAGCCCTGCTTGATCCACTGCTACGTGAAGGCCAAGGTTTGGAAACGAGATGGTTGTACATAGCGGGATCGTGAATAGATGCCGGCCGGCACCCACAGATGTACTGGCAATAACGTGTGGCCGCTTGATAAGTCAACAATGCATTCAATTCGTACGGCGTGAAGCTACAGAGGCTTCTGCCGCTTGCTGTTGCTGCTGCTGGTGGTGGTGCCAAGTCAAGCATGAGTCAAGTAGGCCGCGGAGACACGGCGACGATGACGGAGGACGATGGGGTGGGGTAAGAGCGGGGAAAGCGCGCGACCATTCGTTCGCGCGCTTCCCACTACCACCACCCCCAGCCGCCACCACCACCACCCTCGCGCGGCTGAGGCGGCGGCTGAGGAGGCGGCGAGGGTTGCCTCCTCCCACCCCCTACACACCAAGCACAACCCGGGCGGGCGCCACCGCCTCAGCCTCGCGAGGGGCGAGCTCGAGAGGGCGGCAGAAAAAGAGCGGGAAGAGCGAGCGTCTGGGAAGGGCGCGCGCGCGGTGGCGCTGGCGGTGGTGGTTGGTGGTGGTGGTGAACAATTCGCGGCGGGCTCGCGCAGCTTAAGCGCAGCGGCTCCAACGCGCGGCGCGGCGCTTACCTCTCTGCCTCGGCACCCACGCGCCCCCCGGAAGCACGCGCACCCGCGCACGCCGCGCGAGGGAGAGGGAGGAGCGAGTGGTGGTCTAAGGGGGGGGGAGGGGGGTAAGCCGCCACCTGCACCACGCGCGCGCGCCGGAGATGACGTCAGAGCCGGGAGCGTAACCCCGTGGCATCGATTCCATTGAGTTGGTGAACGTAACCATGGAATCGATTCTAATTTGCATTTTTTTTTACAGAAAATTGTTACGATACTATCTATTATAACGCGTCCTTTTCCCGCGTGAAATAACTAAAGTGTTTTACACGTACAATTCAATGGGGCCGCGTCACCTTTTGCGAGTGCATCTTTTTCAGTCGCACTATTTTTGTTCTTTACCATTCCTCTACTTTGCACTCGTATTGTTTTTTTTGTATTAAATCTTGACTTTAAAGCTTTCGTCACTGCAGGAATTCATATTCTTTGGGGTCACGTAGATAGGTTCAAAGATAATAACAAACTACGACGTTTCGATCGCAACACAAGCGGTGGTCATCAGGAAAGGGGGTTAGCCTCTAAAGCCAGGGGTGTCCAAACTTGTTATTTTCCCGAGGGTCACATACAGACAAATATACGAAGGGCTGGGCCACTCACTAAGACATAGTTTCAAAGTTTTCATTACTTTGGTATAGCCCTGTGAGCCATTCGGTTCTTGAATCTGGTGCAACCACAACAAACAAACAAAAACACGAACAAGAAAAACATCTTAAAGTGATTATGTGACTGTGCAAACAGAAAAATCCAGGAAAAAAAACCATCAAAATATTCCTGAAATAGCACCGTACACCAACGCTGTGTACAAAAATCCCAGTGGGATGCAAGTCAAATAACAACAACAACCACAAGACAACTAAGATTAAGGCCATCAGTCTAACTCTGTACTACAATAAACAAAAACATGGCCAAGCCAAAAAAAACGTTTTCGTGAGGTGTACTGCGCTCACTTCTCATGCACTAATATTGGCGAAATCAATCAAATGCAGGTAAATTTCGTTTGATAATTGAAACATCAAACGCCTCCATAGGCCTCCATTAAGTAGATTTTCATTTTATTTTTTTACAAAGAGTGTTAGCAGGTCATTCTTTCTCTCAGTGACAGCCTCAGATTGGTTCTTAGGGTGCTGATCCCCCTTCATTGTCCTGCATGAAGGGAGAGACAAGAAGAGAAATATGGGATGTGGATATTTCAAGCTTATTACACAAATACATTATTGGGCTTGTTAACACATCAACTAACGTTTGTTAAAAAAAATTGTCATCAACTTTAATTGACTGAATTTATTAAGTAATTGGGCTTATTAACAAAATAAAACTGTCTGTATATTTTTTAACTCACCTGTAATGGGAAGAATGTTGCGCTCAGTGGGAGCAATGATGCTGGCAGGTCAGGAGTAAGTTTGGTGGTTGAGATGCGAAGGACGTCACGGTAGATGGCTGTCGGTCGTTCTGGTTCTCAGTCTGCTTTTGTTCAGCGTTAACAGAGAGAATGTCTGCTCACAGATGTATATTGAGCCGAACAGACTCATCATTCGTTTTGCGTGACGTCTCATCAGAGGAAACTTGGCCTTTTCCAAGCTCCGGTAGAAATCTGGTAGGGAGAGAAGCTAATGCTGATTCTTCATAGAATCATCACACTGCATTTCGATCAGTTCTAATTGCAGACTCTCCTCCACTTCTTTTGCATCCATTGAAAACTGAGCCGCAAACAGTGTGATTTCCTTCTCAATGACAGAAAAATATGGGAAGCGCTGACTGAATTCTGTCATGAGAGATGTGATCACAGAGACATTCTTCCATTTTTTGCAGAGAGCTTGGCATTTGGAAATGCGCATTTGATTTCGGTCTGCGTGGGGAATTGTGCAACATTGAAGTTGCGCAGTTGTGACTCGAAGAGACGGAGCTTCGCACGGAATGCTTTCATGTACGCATACAGCTGTGGGACCAGCTGCTCTTTGCCTTGTAGTCTCTTGTTCAGGGTGTTGAGATGATCAGTGAGATCAACTAAAAGAGCCAGGTCTGCCAACCATAAAGGGTCACTGATCTCATGGAGAGGTCTGCCCTTTTACTTTAAAAAACTTGTCGATATTTGATCTCGGGGGAATAAAACCGCTGCAGCACGGAGCCGCGACTGAGCCAGCGCACTTGAGAATGGTAGAGTAGGTCCCCGTATTCAGCATCGACATCAGAGAGGAACGCTTGCAATTATCTGTGGTAAAGCCCTCGTGCCCGAATTATGTTGACAGTCTTCACAGCTGTGTTCATCACATCGCCAAGCTGGGATATCTTGGCACAGAGGGCTTCTTGGTGGATGATACAGTGCATTTTGACAGTCTCACCTCCGCTCTCCCGCACCTTGGCACTCACCATAGAGGCAATTCCTTTGCGCCCGCCTGTCATTGCTGGAGCCCCATCCGTTGTAATTCCACACAGCTTGTCCCATTTAAGTCCAGCCTGGTCAATTGCATCTGACACAGCTTCAAACATGTCCTTCCCAGTTGTTGTCCCCTTTAGACTCCGAAGATCGAGCAGTTCCTCCGTAATGCAAAAATTATCATCAACTCCCAGCAAAAAAATTAACAGCTGTGCAGTGTCCGTGGCATCTGTGCTCTCATCACATGCAATCGAGTAAAAATCGAAAGCACAAAAGCTTCATCTGACACTTGCTGTTTTAAGTTAACCGACAAGTCTTCAATTCGCCGCACAACCGTATTTCTGGACATACTAACATCGTTGAAATCCTGCATTTTCTCCGGGCACATTATTCCCACGTCTTTAGTGAGGCACTGTTTGATGAAGTCACCGTCTGGGAAAGGTTTCCCGTGTAGGGCAATGAGTTGAGCTACTTCATAACTGGCCATTGTTGCATTTTCTTGAGCTTTGTTAGCACGGAAAACAAACCTGCTGCTGCGTTAGCAGGCTAGCTTGCCATTTGCTTTACCTTCTCTCTCCGCTCGGCGCCAGTGTAGGACGTGAAGGTCTGATGTTTCGTTTAATAATGCCGTCGTACATTGTACTCTTTCATCACGGCAACACTCTCATTACAAATTGAACAAACACACTTCCCCTTGGTTTCTATGAAAAAATATTCATTTTTCCACCGAGTCTGAAATTTTCTGCACTCGCTTGCAAACTTGCGTCTCTTCGGTTCCGGCATTTCTGGTGACCCTGAGCAATTTTTTTCTTCGATTTCTTGCTTTGTGGAGACGCTGCCTTGTTCAAGACAATAGCGCCACCTATTGTTTAAACTAAGAAGTGCAATACAGTGGGCCATAGTCCATTATATTTTTAGACTTTGATACGGGCCAATTAAAAATGGATGGCGGGCCGCAGTTGGCCCGCGGGCCGTAGTTTGAACACCCCTGCTCTCAAGGCAAACTGCTTATAAAGGTTTGAAATGGGCGTCGCCCAAGTGTCAGCAGCATGGGCGGGGCAGCTAATGTTAATGTTGGGGAAACAACGACACCGGCAGTGGGTCTCCACCAATCAAAGGGCCGCCAGGCAAACATTGCACTTCGCTCCACACACACACACTGCTGACGGAGGTTGCTGCTAGAGGTGATGGTAGTAGTGGGCAGTGATGGTCCCGGTGGTGGGCTTCCACCAATTAAAGGGCTGCCAGGTCTAAAATAGAAACATTACAGCCAGTTATATCTTAAACTGGTTGATAACGTCCTTCCAGTGATTGCTGAGTTTGTACCCATCTTCTGGGTTGACATTGTGTCTATGTCTGTATATATGGATGGCTTCATGAACGAATCTTTATTGATAGTCAGTGGGTTTGCAAAGTGCCTTCGTCTTAGAGAATCAATTTCGTGTGAGCCCACCGCATTAAAACAATGATCAGCCACGGCTGTGTTTCAGGTCTGCCTTTTGTTCACCGACTCGGTCCGAGACATATCGCTTAGTTTCCCCAATGTAACTACTGCCGCAGATGCAACTTAGTTTGGAGACGCCGGGGTATTGCATGGCGGGGATCACATCCTTCACAGATGGGATCAGATCACGAATTTTATGTACTGTGTTAAATCGAACCTGGATCTTGTGTTTGCTTTAGTTTTGGAAATATTTTTGGTGACCTCTGCTATGTGTGGTAAGGTGATGGTTTCGATTGGGTCTTCAGATAGTTCTTTCTCAACGGTTTAGGGTGATATCTTTACGGATTGTGTAGTCTGAATATCCATTCGTCTTGAGAGCTTGGTGTACATGTTCCAGTGAACACGTAGGATTCAAACTGTAAATGTGGATTCACTCTTCAACACACCGGTGGGCTAAAGTAGTGAACTAATTGTCTTTTGTCAACGTGACACTTTTTTTGCTGATTGGCCGTGTCGGGTGGTGGAGGGTTACGACACATAAATAACGCGATCTAACCCAAAAACCTTTATTATGAACGTAGGATGAACGTTGATATTTATAAGGACACGGGGTGAGCGATAAGTTCTGAATTGGTCTCTAATAAGGTAAGCACTGATAAGGGTTTGACAGTATTATGAATGCATGTTGAACTTAAGTAGCCAACCGTGCTAATCGCTGGTGCGGGGGAAGGACAACAAACTGAATACAAAAATTACTAAAGAATTATTTACTTTAGAAAGTATGGCCATATGATAGGTAGTCCGGGCCATACAGACGAAAGAGATGTGTAGGAGTGGTAACAAAACTTAGGATTGATTGTATGAGATGGGAGAACCAAAAGCAAAAAAAATATGAGTTTTAAGGCATGCCTTTAAAATGTCAAGAGACGCCGAGTCAAGGATTACAGACAGAGAGTGCATCCCACAGCAGGGAGCCACGACGCAGAAGACACGGTCACCACCTTTCTTAGGTCGAAGACGCACCCTAGGGATGCAGATAATATCATCATCATCTTAGCAGAGCATATTGCAAAATGAGGTTACTATAATTCCCCGCTTTGGCCCGGACAGTCACAATTTTATAAAAGCTGGCCTATTGTAGTGAAAATCGGAATTTTTTTTCTCCCGATGATCCTTTTTTTTTTTACCTGGATTGGTACACTCAATTGGCAGATGAGTATACGGCAAGGCCGTAGCCATGGAGTCAACATTGGGGGGGACCAAATCTTCCGGGGGGGTCTGGGGGTCCCCCCCAGAAAAAAATATAAATTTTAAAACTAATTTCCTGCCATTTCCTGCCAGAAATATTAAAAAATTTCACTTACACATAGGATGGACTTTTTCTTTATTTTTTACAATAATGTCTAATAGTGTATAGTATTACATTGCTGTTTTTTTCTTTTTTACCTTTTCTTGTTTCATTGTATGTAATGGCAGAGATTAGGGATTAATAAAGTACAACCACAGTCATATAAACATGAATCTATTTTATAGCAATATATTGGGGGGGGGGACATTTTGAACATATTTGAATATTGTGGGGGGGGGGGGGGGGGGGTGTACGGCCTTGATATACGGGCCTAATAAGCAAGTAGGTAGGGCCAACGTCAGTGGGCTAGGCTATAGTAACACGTCGGCTCACGACCAATATCATCTACAAGAGGTTTTTAGGCTTAGATCGTGATCTAACCCAAAAAAACTCTTATGTAAGCTATAGGGATTGAGCAGGCGTGGCTCCGATGTTACAACAGGTGGAGATGATGAAGAGTGGCGTTGGCTGCTCACCACTTGTAGCCACAAATGTGGTAACCCTAACCATGAAGCCTCACGTATGCGGCATATCGTCTTTGGCTAAATAAACCGGAATGCGCCAGGCTTCGGATACGAAGCAGGATAATGCCTGGACGGTGCTTGGATGCGCAATGACAAGAGCCTACATGCGGTATGCGGAGACTAGTGGCCACGGGAGGTAATGACAGGGGTATCGGTTGTGAGTGCGAAGGGGGACCGGTGGCTACGGGAATGTTCGAGAAGGGAGCGTGGTCAGGTGACGGAAGAGGACGGTGGAGTCTTGCCGGTGGAGCGAGCGTCCAGAGTCAGCGAGAATGATCGAGAAGGGGGGCTTGGCCTCGTGTTGGCATGCAAGGGAGATGCGCGGGAGGCTCGGGGCTGTTGCAGTGAGGGTATCCGCCTGATGTCAAGTGAACGTGCCTTCAATAAAGTGCTATCTCAAGAGAAGCGTGTCAAGCCGTCATTACAGATGCATAAAACATGTTATTAGGCTGCAGAGCTACGTTGTAGGCAAGCATTAAAGTCTATTTCATTGTTGAACTGTACTGTGGTCTCATGCATATCCTCTGTGGCTTCAACCCCAACTGACCAACAAAGACTCCCGAGTAGGGGGCAAGCCCTCACATCCGACAGAGTATTAACAACAAATGTGCCGTGCAACTGTACCCGCGGTGAAGAGTTGCGTATTATTCAATCTCACTGCGACGCCGACTCACGCAGTTAACGGGATTGAGAATCGACACTTGGTCTTCATTCTCGTATGGCCGATGCTGATGCAGAGCTATAACTAATTTTACATTCGAGGCGGTTGACAGGCACTTAATGGCACGTGGTAATTCCACACTCCCGCTGGGCTCATTCTGCCATGGGGAAATCTCACGCCACCCACTGGATATTGTCAACTGCCCATGAGCTAAATTGAAAGGTCTGTTAAAAATAGAGGGAATCGAAACCGATTGCTTTTTAGTTTGGTACAACCCAAATTTATTTTAACGCATATCTGTAAACCCATACGGTTTACCCTGTATTCTTGTACAGGTTTTCAGGTCCATACGGCGTACAGCCGTTCCAATACGGGCAACCTTTATTTTTTGTTTATATGTGTTTCTCCCTTGTGATGGGATTGTAAGATGAACGCTGAGATTTATAAGGGCACGGGGTGACCAATAAGGTCTGAATTGTTCTGTAATAAGGTAGCCACTGATCGGGTGTTGACATGTATGTTAACGGTTTTGGTTAACCGGTTGATTTATGAAAACATTAATTATTTTCAGACTGATGTGGCTTGTTCACATTCATTTAAAAAAATTGTACGTATGTTTACAAAGCTACGCGCAATACTATTTAGCTATTTGTTTACTACTTTTTTAAATGTCTTGTACCAACGGAATATATATACTTTTTTTTATTAAAACCAGTGTTACTCTTTGGTTCTTTCGGTAAAGTCACGTAGAAAGAAAATAAATTAAATAATAGAGTACGACGTTTCGATTGGAACACAAGCAACCGTCATCAGGTAGAACTGTATTTGAGAGAGACACAAAACACAGACACAGACAGACACTCAAGCAGAAAGAGACAGAGTGTATCTCTCTCAAATGCAGTTCTACCTGATTATGGTTGCTCGTGTTGCAATCGAAATGTCGTACTCTATTATTATTTTTTTCTACACGTGACTTTACCGAAAGAACCATAGAGTAATTCCTGCAGTCACGGAAGCTTCAAATCATGTTTAAAACCAGTGTTAATTGTTTTAATTAGCTGTTCACAGATGTTATCTTTATACCTGTTCTTAAATGGTGCCTTGAACAATAAATTACACTCGACACATTATTGAAGTACGCCAGCATTTATCTTGGTTCTTTCGGTAAAGTCACGTAGAAGGGGAAAACAATAACATAATACAAATATAAAACAATACAATTATTATTTTATTGTTTCGCTTCTACGTGGTGACTTTACCGAAGAACCAAGAATATGAATCCCTGCAGTCACGAAAGCTTTCAATCAAAATTTTTCGCCAGCATTGTTTAATGCAGATATTTAAAACCCTTTGGGGAGGGACTGCTATCACCACAGATACAGGCAAAGAAACCATATCTGTTCACGCAGATTTGTATTCAACCGTAGATACGATGTCCTCATTCAATCATAGACTTTAGCTGTTGGTGGTCCGTTCCAATTGCCCTTTCTTTCACTTTCAGCAAATGAAATATAAAGGGTCACTGCTTCTTTAGCTTTTGTGTAGCGTTATAGTTTCGGTTAGCAGTTATGGTTTGGAATAGCATTGCCCGAGACTTCTTTATTTAGCTTCAAATCAAATCATCGGTGCATTTTGTATTTGCACCATTCTTAGGTGTGCAAGGCTCTCAAGAAGGTGCCATGTTTCACAGGCACCATGTTTCACAGGCACCATGTTTCACAGGCACCATGTTTCACAGGCACCATGTTTCACAGGCACCATGTTTCACAGGCACCATGTTTCACAGGCACCATGTTTCACAGGCACATTCTGCAGTAGGGGTGGGTGGGGGGCGGTATTGCTACGTGTCCTCCCAATTGAGTAATTTGTGGGTAATTTTTCAAATATGGACAGTGACACCAGCAAATGGCCTACCCCATATCGAATGTCACGGGATTTATTTTTAAATATCCCCTGCGAAGGAGACGGCACATTAACAATGAATACATCCACATTATTAACCAGGGTGACAGCAGGGCTAGAACCGCAAACCTTTGCTACAAGTGGTAAACTGCACTTCCGCTAAGCCATATTATCACTTGGCCATGTCATAAATCCCATCTGTGTGAGAAGTAGTCTCGGGCAAGGCCGTCTCGTGTATAGGCATAAATTGCAGGTGAATTCGAGGCTCCATCCGATCACATCACGTCAGTCACTGGCAACAATAAAATTCTAACAATACTAAGCACATATTTCACTTACTATGTAGCAACGTTCCCTTTATTGCTAAATGAGCATTACAGTATTTAAATAGAGTTGGCAAAAATAGAGGGGGGATTTAAATTAAATGTTGAAGATTAAAAGTAATATGTACAGTAATGATAATGTAAATGTTGGTCAAAAGGCATTTATACATTGCTGGCCATGATTAAGAACGTCATATGCCAACAAATGTACGTCAGTCATATTTCCCTTGTACTTTTGCTAATAAATAAGCCCGATTTAAATGTTCAAGCGATAAAATTAAAAGCTTAAAATACATTAACATCACAGCATGACAAAATACAAATTTCCCTGTGTACTTAAATGCGAATAAAATATTACACATACACTATGATGAACACTGAAGCATGCAAGAATACGCAATAATGGGAATTAGCATTACTTTGTGTTGCAGCAGGGTTAAAATACTTTTCCATCCATAGAACAAAAATTGACAACCACATTTACAATGCAAGCAGAAATATGAACGAAACGAAAATTGGTTACTTCGTGTGGTGCCACTTGCGATGGTGTGCTGTAATATAATTACGTTTTAAAGGAACATTTTCTGATACTAAGAATACCTGCGCGCTGGAAAAAATGCGTCATGCAACATTTTTTAGAAAAGAAATAATCCCTGTGAAAATATTGCTGCTAAAAACTATTCATACAGAATGCATGTATAACAAAAAAAATTGCCACAATTTACATGATTGTTTCTGTTCACAATGTAAAAATACCTTTTTTTTCTGTAGCTGTGGAGTGGCAATGAATCAAACATGGTGACATTTTAATACTCACTCTTGTAACAATAAACCCCCCTTAGTAATATACCAAGTTATTTGAATAAAAAGCAAAAAAAAAGACCTTCCTTGTAATAGCAATTGTATGATTCGTTTGTCATTGTTTCTATTTACAAGTTTAGAAGTGGCAAGTGGAGTGGTGGAAACTGGCAAATTGTCTGAAACTTGCTTACACGTTGAACATTCCCCATAATGAATCACCTCTTTCCATTTAAGAAAAATGAAGCATATTTATAATACCTATGTTGCTCCTCTAACATTTAACAAAGTAGCAAAAATGGCCGTTGTCAGGTTTTGTGCTCCGCTGTAAAATTATAATTTCACAGTTGCTAAAAAACAGAATCGTTTGCCTCTTCTTCTTCATCATCATCATCATCATCGTTTTTTTCAAGGGCTGGGGAGGCATTGGCAAACCCATTGCACACATTCCCATTTTCCTGCTGTTCATCACGACCGCGCGCATCGCCTCCTTTGCCATCCACATTGTCCTGCAGAGACCTATACTCCACCTCGACCTCGGTGTGTGCATCCTCCGTTGAACCTCTGTAAGATGACGAGCTTAACTTCTTCCTGCTGCCCCCCGGCATCACCGTCGGGGCACCAACGTCCGAAAACTCCTCGACCGGCAGGCGCACCACGGTCAAGGCATCCAGAATCTCTGAGACGTCACCGTCCGAATTGCGGTGCCACTTTGGGTCGGCCTGATCGAGTAGGGTCATCGTCTGCGTGGGCGCATCCGTGCCGGCGCCTTTGCCCGGGCTCTGGTGCTTCGGGGAGGCGGCTCGACGCGCCACTGCCGGAGATTCACCGAAGCCGTCCTCAAGGTCGCTGTCAAAAACGCTGTCTTCCGAAACGTCAAACCCTTCTTGCTCTAGAGAGGGCGCCTTGTGCAGCACCACCTGTGGGATTTCAACTTTCCGATGCTTCTCTCGCTCACTTTCAAATTCTCCCGCGGAAGCAGAGACCGCTTCCTTCTTCGGCGTGACCGAGGGCGAGTTGCTCGCGGCGACCGGTGATCTATTTTCCGGGCTCTCCTCCTCCTCTTCTTCCTCGATGGCGATCTCACCTGGCTCCCTATCGAGGTCATCAGAGGAGCGCGCCTGTGGGTTGAAGGCGCTGAAACGAGCGGCCTTCCAGGGCGTCTGCTCGTTGGCGAGACGCGCCAGCAGGTTTGGCTCACTGTCTGCCGGTATCATCACGCTGTCACGGAAGAGCTTGTGCTTGTTCTGGTTCGTGGCTGCTCGAATCACTGCGACAACAATCCAAACGTGAAAAGTCATCCAAACGGAATAAGATATGAATAATTTTCTGCACAAGTGTTTTGTTGTCCTTCCCCCGCACCTCCAATTAGCAAAGTTGACTATGTACGGTCAAAAAGAAATTAAACTAATATATATACACAAGTGTTCATTGAAATAAATTTGGATTAGATTTTTGTATATTTACCCTATTCCAACTATCATATCGGACTCATTTGTCATAGACATTTTCGAAATCTCACAGAGCAGTACACCCCATATGTAGGAGAATGCCTGCCGAAATCAAGCAGCCTTTTTCTTTAATAATTACACAGTATGTGGTACATTTTTGCACACTGTGCTATGATATTGTTTGACTGTCATTTTGAAAATTATTTTTAAAATTCTATTTTCGAGACTTTTTGCCAAATCAATAGCAAAACTACATTTTATACTTGTCCTTTTTTGTGTTGTCAATGGAGACCGGACTAAGACCATCAACTCGCTACACTTGAGAACCAAATTAATAACGGCAGCTGTCCAAGATTTCAACCAAACATTCTAGCTGTGCAGGCTCGGCATTCTTACTTCTTAACCGACCAAGCCATCTCTTACACTAAAAAGTTGAAGGCGTAAGTCTGAGATGCAAACATGGACTAAACATTTCAGTGAAACGTTAGTATAAAGTCTAATGCTGTACACCACCACCACGCAAACCCAAAGCCCCATTCACTCTGCCAGTAATATAAATGTCAATGTGTGTGAAATGTTATTAAAACACTGATTAATTTCGTTTGTATCATGTTCTTTGCTTTAAAAAAAATTAATGTGCCAAATATACGATTATGTTCACTGCATAAACATGTAATAGTGGTATATTGCATGAATTCTGAATAAAATATTACATTCATGTACAATGAGCATAAGATGACCGTACATGTTAATCGATAAACTGATACATCACTGCATACCACATGTCACTGAATGGACTGTAAAATAAACAGATCTCTGTTACCTATTTCAGCAAAATAATTTAACCCTTAATGATCTCAGTAATTCAATTGTCATTTTAAAAGCATTATTTTAAAGTGAGCTTTGAATAATACTCGAACTGAAAACTAAAATATTCTGTGGAATGCCGACAGCATACCGAAGTCATAATTCTGCTCGCGGTCACAGTGTTTCCAAGTGACTACTAAATTATTGGTTGGTGCAAAGGTGATTTAAACTGTAGCTAAGTTTTGTGTACAACTCTAGCAACCTCCATTACACCCAGAGAACACAAAATTGGTTCATAAACAGCACTCGCAAGCACACAAAGTCCTAATTCTTTTGGAATGGCTTTCAAATCCAGTTGCCAGCCAATTGAGTAACTGCATCTCTATTGCACTTGAGATCTGGACAAAACAGGTTGCTTAGAAAAAAAAATATGCATCTACAAAAATATTTGTGGTATTCAGGCATGGTATCCATCAAGTCACGTCATGTTACAAATGTCACGAAAATGCTGAACATCAGATTCACTGGATAACTATGAGGACGTGTACGTTACCCAATGAGCTCACAATATTTGGCATCCGCACCTGCATAACATTACTCAGTACATTTACAACCCAATCTTGGGCTGCACAATAAATGTGCAAAGAGTGTCCATGCTGTGCTTGTTGAATGCATACACAAGTTTATACTGGATTGGACGCAGTATGTACAGCGAGGGAAAAAAGAATTTGATCCCCTGCTGATTTTGTACGTTTGCCCACTTACAAAGAAATGATCAGTCTATAACTTTTATGGTAGGTTTATTTAAACAGTGAGAGACAGAATAACAACAATAACAACAAAAATCCAGAAAAACGCATGTCAAAAATGTTATAAATTGATTTGCATTTTAATGAGGGAAACAAGTATTTGACCCCCTCTCAATCAGAAAGATTTCTGGCTCACAGGTGTCTTTTATACAGGTAACGAGCTGAGATTAGGAGCCCACTCTTAAAGGGAGTGCTCCTAATCTCAGCTTGTTACCTGTATAAAAGACACCTGTCCACAGAAGCAATCAATCAATCAGATTCCAAACTCTCCACCATGGCCAAGACCAAAGAGCTCTCCAAGGATGTCAGGGACAAGATTGTAGACCTACACAAGGCTGGAATGGGCTACAAGACCATTGCCAAGCAGCTTGGTGAGAAGGTAACAACAGTTGGTGCGATTATTCGCAAATGGAAGAAACACAAAAGAACTGTCAATCTCCCTCGGCCTGGGGCTCCATGCAAGATCTCACCTCGTGGAGTTGCAATGATCATGAGAACGGTGAGGAATCAGCCCAGAACTACACGGGAGGATCTTGTCAATGATCTCAAGGCAGCTGGGACCATAGTCACCAAGAAAACAATTGGTAACACACTACGCCATGAAGGACTGAAATCCTGCAGCGCCCGTAAGGTCCCCCTGCTCAAGAAAGCACATATACATGCCCGTCTGAAGTTTGCCAATGAACATTTGAATGATTCAGAGGACAGCTGGGTTAAAGTGTTGTGGTCAGATGAGACCAAAATGGTCTTTGGCATCAACTCAACTCGCCGTGTTTGGAGGAGGAGGAGGAATGCTGCCTATGACTCCAATAACACCATCCCCACCATCAAACATGGAGGTGGAAACATTATACTTTGGGGGTGTTTTTGTGCTAAGGGGACAGGACAACTTCACCGCATCAAAGGGACGATGGACGGGGCCATGTACCGTCAAATCTTGGGTGAGAACCTCCTTCCCTCAGCCAGGTCATTAAAAATGGGTCATGGATGGGTATTCCAGCATGACAATGACCCAAAACATACGGCCAAGGCAACAAAGGAGTGGCTCAAGAAGAAGCACATTAAGGTCCTGGAGTGGCCTAGCCAGTCTCCAGACCTTAATCCCATAGAAAATCTGTGGAGGGAGCTGAAGGTTCGAGTTGCCAAACGTCAGCCTCGAAACCTTAATGACTTGGAGAAGATCTGCAAAGAGGAGTGGGACAAAATCCCTCCTGAGATGTGTGCAAACCTGGTGGCCAACTACAAGAAACGTCTGACCTCTGTGATTGCCAACAAGGGTTTTGCCACCAAGTACTAAGTCATGTTTTGCAGAGGGGTCAAATACTTATTTCCCTCATTAAAATGCAAACCAATTTATAACATTTTTGACATGCGTTTTTCTGGATTTTGTTGTTGTTATTCTGTCTCTCACTGTTCAAATAAAGCTACCATTAAAATTATAGACTGATCATTTATTTGTCAGTGGGCAAACGTACAAAATCAGCAGGGGATCAAACACTTTTTTCCCTCACTGTATATGCCGTATTTTATATATTGTATATTCAGTATATAGACCAGATAATGTAATGATGTCTGCCACATATACTGTACTCAGGAAATGTAACATGTTGTGTGGTCATTATTGGGATTTTGGAAAACCTACAAAATGGTATTGCAATGCAATATCTTTTTCTTTGGTCGAAACTTAAAATGTGCACATAACAGGCAGGGAGAAACAGGCAGTCATACGCAGAAACTGGGTTGCACAATAGCGCTCCGTGAAAGGAAACAGGAGAAGACGGAGAGCGATCGAGATAGAACAGCCTAATGGATACGCACATTTTTGTTGTGTACCGAGTAATGAGGTACATCGATATAAATTTGCAGTCGCGTTCTTGCGAGCGACGTGCGCAACCCCATCGGTCTGTCGTGTGAACCCCGGTGACCCGTTTTGGATCAGAACACGCAGGTCAGGCGCCCCCCCGCTGCATGCAATCAAAAAAACTGTCATCTGATGTGGCTGGATGGGCCAGGAGGATTAATGCCGGTGTCGGGGCACTCGACCGTCATCTCCGAGATCCGTGATTCAAACCGCGGGTCGCATGACCGCTGCGTCAAAACGATTCTCACGTTGATGGTTTAACCCACCCCGCCGACGGTCGCACACGGGGGAAAAAAAAAAAACCCCGTCCCTAAATTGGTATCTGCACTTGAATTCGGTGGATGCGCGACTCAGTTATGACAGTACAAAATAATGGTGTTGGCAGCTGGGGATTAAAACATGTTTTGTTGATTCTGCAGCTGAAGATTGTTCTCTACGGGGGAGGTTTTCGGAATGAGACAATGGGAGACATTCTGGCGTCCGAGTTGGAATGCTGTCCCCTGCCAGGATATATTGCTCTCCTCTCAGTGGGTGTTCCACTGGGCCCTGCAATTGATACCAGGAGTGCCTTGGAAAAAAATAAAAAAAATAAAGTGGTCTATAAATAGGAAGCTGCCCTTTCTTACCCTTCGCGATGTCAGGTGCCACAATCTGCAGGAGGGCCTCCTCATAGATGTTTCGGAGGAAGAGGACCCGCGCGTACTCTGTGTAGATGTCCTCTTCAAATTTACCGAGGCCCTGGGATACAGAGGGGAAAAAAAACAAGCAGGCCCGTGAGTGCATGCCAGGAGGTCTTCGGTTTTGAAATAATGCAATTCTTCTTCGTCTGTATATGGTTAAAAGTCGTAAATGTATCTCTCCATCGCTATGCTTCTTGATGGGGTTCGAAATGAGATTATGCAGGTTATTAGCATCAGTAAAACTGCCATTGGCATTTCCCAAAAGCTGAAATATTCAGAGGAGAATAACCAAAACAAAACAAAATACAGATACGGCAAACTGTAACCGGATATCAGTCGGAGGCAGATTTAGAAACTTCCCAAGGAGGTTCATCGGGGGGGTGGGGGGGTCCCCATAGTCCGCTCCCACTTGGATCCACCACTGATGCAAGGCCACACTGGCAATGGTCCTCAATCCAAACAGCACACATACAAATGGTCCAGTTCTCTGCTCGAAAGCAAGCATCTGAAGGTGCATTTCCGTTCACGTCCTTCCAGTTCTTGATGCTGTTTGGGGAGCAGTTTTGTGAATGTCGGTGTGCTTTTAAAGCATCGCAAAAAATAAACCCATCAGCTCAATGGGCTGTGCAAGCAGCTCGTTTTTAGCATCGTGCCTTGCATTAATTGACATAAAAGCAATGGCATGTTTCCTTTACGCCATTGTAACGGTTATGTTTATACAGCAGCGGTTTATAGTGCTGTTGTGATCTTATTGCCAGCATAAGAATACAGCTGAGTGCTCAAACATGATGCTCTGGGAGTGAACGTTCAAACATTATGCACAGGGGATTTAAAACCAGCTGTCTCGTGGATGGGACGCCACCAATGTTATTCTGTTTAAAAATGCATGAATGTGTTGTTTTCCCAGAAAACAGAGGTAGTGGAATTAGCATGTTCCATCCAGTTTCTAAGTGCTGACATATCGGCATTGCTGGCATATTGCTGTTTGGCCACTAAAGTCCCTGTAAAGTTTTGCACCCAGAACTGCCATGCTTGTAAACAGTCGCTTTTTCTCTACAGCACTCTGTCAATCCACCGCTGGACAACAGCCTCTCGACGCCACGTAGGTTATGTCGGTTGCTTGACTATACGTCGCCACGCAGATCAGTAAGTGTTGGCGAGGCAAGGATTGGGGGTGGGCATGACCGGTTGAAATATTGCTCGGCAACGGCCATGGCCGTTGAATCAAACTCCGGTTTCCGGGGGATCATTGCGCAGTTTGCTAACCACGGCGCCAACGACCCTTAAGGTTCAGGCGCGCGTAACAAAATGGGTGCCTGACAACTCCTCAAAGGTGTTGGCACATTTGACAGCAGCGTTACCTGTGACTGTACAAAGGCTTTCAACACATTTGGATAACTGAAAAATGTAACCCTTTAAAGTAACCTTCAAAGTCATAACTCCCAGCATGCAAGTAAAGGTACTGTTGTTATCCTGCGAAGATCACTTTCATTTGAAAAGGTAAAAAAAGCTTCTGACCATCTCTTATTCCCCACCTGTTGAGTGGTACACTCAAACTGCCACAAACAGACCACGGCACACACAGTTAATACTGCGGGTGGATCAACCATGAAATAAAAGCCGTCCACTTCACTTTAGAAGTTGAAAACCCCATTGCCTCATTTGAGAAGATTAGGCCATTGTGAACTAGTGTCAGTCAAAATTTGCCAAATTTTGAAAAATTACCCGTAAATAACTCCTGGGATTATGCAGAGCAATCATCGCCCCCTACCCCAGACTAATGCCCGTTTCTACCACGTGCCACACAGGCACAGCTGCCACAGGGGGTTCCCTTTAAACGGTTGAGAAGAAGTATCATTGAACGGTTGAGAAGAGGTATCATTTAACGGTTGAGAAGAGGTATCATTTAAGGCTCTTGGAGTTCGAGGCATTTAAACAGTGGAATAAATACAGGGTCACTACATGGAGACATAATCTTGCCTTTGTGATACAAAAAGGTCACAATTTCATAGTCAATGCCGTTCAGATAACGAAACATCTGGTAGGAAAACCAATCATAGGAGAAAAACAGCAGAGGCCGGAAAACCACACGTTGAAAAAAAACCCACAGAAACGTGTACAAAAAACACATCCCCTTCTGCATTATGAACCGATTAATGTTCTAGATTTGAAGTTTTCGTACCGATGAATTTTTTTTATACAATGTAAAAAATGTGGCATTGGCAGTGCTGCACCTTACCTGTTTACAAGTGGGTGCCAGCTTCTTGAGAACACATGGGAAGGTGATTTGTAGCAAAGCCTCTTGGAAGAACTTCTTCCTCACAGTGCTGCTGTCATAGTCGTATTTCTGGGGGGGGGGGGGGGGGGGGGGGGATTGACACGGGGAGACAGGAAGGTGTAGCAGAGAAAAATGGGAAAAATTAATACATTAAACAAATATTTGAGATAAATATAAAATGGCAGGGAGCAGAAATGTTCAATAGATAAAGGTTACAACGGGGAGAATTGGGAGGGGGAACAGGAATGTAATCCAAATAAAATTGTCAGAAAAAAGGTGAGAAATAGAATTGAACACCACACTGATTACCAGGGGCGGAGCCAGGGGGGGTGACAGGGGTGACATTCTGCGTCTAAGTGTACGACACTCGGTCTGGCGGACTCCGTACAACTGCATTGTCAGAGTGTCTGTCGCCAACCGATGGAGTCTAGTTCAACAGCCTGACTCTCTAATCATTCTTGAAATTAAAATTTGTTGAATGTCACCCCGGGCTGAAAATCCTGGCTCCGCCCCTGCTGGTTACAGTGCAGGGAGGAGACCACATCCTTGGCGGAAGGCGATTTCGTTTTTTTGCAAGCTTTTATACTTACACGTACCGAACGGCCCCAATGTTTTCTTGTTTTGCTCAGTCCCAGTCACCTTAAGACGCCCGTGGCACATTTGCCGGCGGTTCAACACCTCAGTGGTTTGTGTAATTTGTTGGGGTGGGTGTGGCTCCAGTGACTCATCGGAAGCCACCACCGGGGGAAAATTTGTTCTGAGTTTTTAAAAATGTTGCAGCCTTAAATTTTTATTTAATGCTACAGCACACGCTTGGGAAGCATCGATAATTTGGCCACCGCTTTTTATCCCACTCCCCGCCCTTCACCAAAGCGCCACGATGACAAACACGGCATGGGCAGGTCCGTCTGTGACGTCGTCCGTGACGTCGGTACGCAAGCCTCGGCGGCAAGTGCCTCGTACCGAGCAATGACACAAGAAATGCATTTCCATACCGGAGGCGTTTTTAGCATGTAAAAAAAAAAAAGCTTTACCATGTGCATTCCGTGGTATGAATCTGAGGTGCACGCACGGATGCACGGGGGATGAAGGCAAGTCAGGTATGACTTTATCAAATTACAAGATCCGAGGGTGGTGGCGAGTGGGGGAGGTCTAACCTTGGGGTGCAACCTCATGTTAGGCGTGGAACAAATTCTTTCCACAGCACGAAACACGGCACCTATTTTCTGCAGGGAAGGGGCCAGGCGGTGGTGCGACGCGCGGTAAAATATTTCCCCGGCGTCGTGAGGGTTAAAACCGTTCCCTCTCAACCCACCACTGCAAGCGGCCGTGGATGTGTCGTATCCCAATGACGGGAGGAATCTCTGATGGACCGTTTCATCCACTGCTTTGGGCCACGAATTTTGGCATCACCGTACGCCGTCTAAAGAGCAATTTCCACCTGCGTTGTTAAAGACTCACCCACTCTGCCGAGTTTGTTTGCCTGAAACAGTGTCTCCGAACCGTCTTTGTTATTGCTACCCCCCCAATTGATATCACTCGTCCTTGTGCCCTCTGCCCTCCCACCGCCACACGCTCCCCCCCCCCCCCCCCGCCCCCGCCCCAACATATCCCCAGGTTACGAAGGCCACAACACACAGGGAGATCACGTGTCCACGCCTCCAGTCAACGCGATGTTCGTACGGGAAGAGTAGGCCAACGCACCCTCTAGGGGTGGGTGGGGCTCTTGTCTAGAGCTGCCCACCCCCTCCCTCTAGAGGAGGTCCCTTCAACCAGCAGTGGCACTAAAATGATGTATGCATGGGGGCAATTGGTGAGAAGTGAAAAAAAAAAATTCTGAGAACTGTGGTACCTTGAGCACACGGTCCTGTGCCTTTTGCAGCAGGGATGTCAGTGCATTCCCGGAAGCCTTGGACATGTTGTGATGTGTCAGCTGCTCAAACGTGTGCACAGCGCTGTCCAGCAACTGCGAGGGACATCGCATCATCGGTTAGGATTTTCAACGATCACCTCTTGCACCAATGCCGTCACTACCATCAATGCCCTCACGTACCACCACCCCCCCCCCCCCGCCTTGACAGCCACAGCTTGCTTCTCAAGTCACTCTTCTCAGAGCTCCAAACAATCCACGAATGCTGCCACAAGGCGCCACAGCCGCGCCCATAAATGCGACATGGCACCGATACTCCGATCCCTCCACTGCCTCCCAATGCGACCCTGGACTCACGTACAAGACTTCACTTGCAGGCCCCGAGATTCTACGTCAACTTGCCCCGGGCCTACTTCTCTCCCCTGAAAGATATCACTGCTTCTCTCTACTACGGACCCCAGAATCTGAAACTCCCTCTCTCCAGCCATCTGTAATGCAGATTCCCTGCTTCTTTTATAAGCCGAGGCCAAATTCTCCCTTCTTCACCTCTGACAATGACACGTTGCTACATATGAAGTGTTTAAAATATAAAACAAAAAAACTAGAGCTCCCCTGTTTTCGGTGCTTCCCAGTAATGCACATGGGCCCCACTCTTTGTACAGCGTATTGAGACGCAGCCGCTTGTAAGACGCTCGATAAATCCAAGCTTTCACTGGGCACGTGTGAGCGAGTGCGTGGCATAAACCGCAGCCACAAAAAAAACCGCTGACTTTACGAAGCTGTGCTCGGCGCAACGTGTGGGATATTAATCACGCACTGCCCACGCACCACTCCCCAGGAGTGAAGTCGCGGTTTAAACCGTCCTGTTACACGCAGCGAGTGGCGGCCTGCCTCATACGAGCCGTGCGGTGCCGTGGCGTCTCCTCAGAGGAGAGCAGACCGCAGATTCGGGAGCCGTGCGGCTCCGTGGATTTGCGCTGTTGCAATTGTGGAAATGTCAGCCACACGCACTTGGCAAAGCATTGCTTTGTGAGAAACGCAAGTACTGCATGTCTTATTTTGCAACGTACGTAGCCAACCGTGCTAATAGGAGGTGGGGGGTGGGGGGGGAAGTGAGATGGGGGGAGGGGGGAAGCGGGGGGAGTGGGGGGAGCACATGCTTCACCTGCTGCATGAGTCGCTGAGCGTGGTCGATGAGCGTGTCGAGCGTCGTGAAATTGAACGTCTGACGCAGCCTCTCTTTGTGGTCCCGCAGCCCCTCCACATTCTTGTAGCTGGGCTGCATGGCCACCACGTTGTACGGAAGAACCTTCAGCTTGGACATCAGCTGTGCCGTACAGGGGATCACACACGCACGCAGGCAGTCTTAAGCGGAGAGCGCTGCTTTGTATGTCAGCACGTTGAACTTATTTCGCACCGCACGTAGCCAACCGTGCGAATAGGGGGTGCAATCAGGGGTGCAAACAGCTTTGAGCAACTAGGAGCCCACTGGCACCCTGCCTGTAAACTAGCCAAGGTCATTCACGGTACAACGATCCCACATTGACACTTTAAACACTGTAGGGGTTGGTGATGTTAGTGAGCGCCTATTAACGTTGGCTCAGCGGTAGAGCCCACGGCTGGCAATCTAAATTTGTGAGTTCAAAGCCGGGTTGGGGGTTCACTTTACCCCTTATGCCTCCGGGTTTGAAAAAATGAGGACCACCAGTGGTGTAAATTCATACATTCCTGTGGCAGGAGCAAACCTCTACATTGGACAACCAACTCAACTTCCCAGCAAAGTGGTGGTCATTTCATAGATCACCAAGGGATATATAGGACCCCCAAGTCAACCCCCAACCAGGTTTAGAACCCGCGACCATCTGAATGTGAACTGCTCGCTATTCGTAGAACTCCGTCGAATCCCGTAGCGGTTAACATTCCAGTGGGGGGTATCCGGCGGAGACGGCAGAGGCCCTACCTTGCCGATCTGGTCGTTATTGGCGCCGTTCTTGACCTCGGCGATGATCTCGGCGGTTTTGCTGACGAAGAGTACGTGCAGCTGGGAGAAGCCCTCGCCCACGGGGTCCGCGAGGCTCTCGAGCAGAGTCGGCAAATCCTGCTGCACCTGGCTCCTCCAGAACGGCTCGGCGCTGGGGGCGACCCAGGCTGCAAAGACACAGACAAAGATCCCCCGTATAGATTTAACAGACTGTTGGGGCAAGTGCTGTTCGCGAGCACCAGTGAAGATCGGCACAGCATACGAGGGGGGTGGGTGGCCAAGGCCACACCGACTTTTTCTCCCCAGTGGCGATGTTTTTAAATCACTCCAGGTACTCATTTGAGGCCGAGTCGAACCTAGAGGAGACCCAGGACCGGTTCAAATAATCGTCCTTGGTGTTGATGGTGGCCGTGAGCCGGGAATCGAACTCGAGTTACCAGTTAAATTTCGATTTAAAGCTTTCGTGACTGCAAGGATTCATATTCTTTGGTTCTTTCGGTAAAGTCACGTAGAATGAGAATAAAATAATAAAATAACACAATAAAATTCTCACGACGTTTCGGCCACAACGCAAGCGGCCGTCTTCAGGTGAAAGGAACAGAACTGTCGGGACGACAGAGTTCTGTCGTCTTCAGGTGAAAGGTACAGAACTGTCGGCCGTCTTCAGGTGAAAGGTACATAACTGTCGGGACAACAGAGTTCTGTACCTTTCACCTGAAGACGGCCGCTTGCGTTGTGGCCGAAACGTCATGAGAATTTTATTGTGTTATTTTATTATGTTATTCTCATTCTACGTGACTTTATTCTCATTCTACGGGACGAGAAAGTTCTGTACTTTACACCTGAAGACGGCCGCTTGCGTTGTGGCCGAAACGTCGCGAGAATTTTATTGTGTTATTTTATTATTTTATTCTCATTCTACGCGACTTTACCGAAAGAACCAAAGAAGTCGAGTTACCAGGTTCATAGCGAAATGCGCTCGACGCTGCGCCCGTGCTCACGCACGCACGCACGCACGTGCAGAGGTCCCTTCCGGCTCGGCCTCTCTCACGAACACACGGTCGGGTGCAAGTGCCGCGTGCGAGCACCTACTGAGGCCGCCACCGGAGTCAACGGCGCTCGCCCACATATTTACATCACGGAGCCAAGCGCTGGAAGTTCCACGTGACGTTCCGTACAGCAATCACCGTTGACTTCCCCACAAAGTGGAACTGATCATATGAACGCCGGCAAGATAAATGGCTGAGTCAACCCGCCCCCCCCCCCCACCAGGATTTGAACTCCGATTGTGAGCGGGTCACCCTACCACAGAGCCAGCTGGCCGATATGGCAAGCAAGGCAGTGGTGGTGGTGACGTCAGCGATATTTGGGGCCCTGTACAAAATGTTGGCTGGGTGCCAACATTCATTCCCATATAAATAATATATATTCTTGTAATATTTGGGTGCCCCCTTGAGCTTGGAGTTGGACCCGATTCCCCCCCCCCCAACCCCTCTTATCAGACCTGGGTGTCAGCACCACACCGGGTTGCCAGGGTCTTGCCAGTAATAAATAATAATCATAACGGCAGCGTTCAAGTGTACCGATATTGATGGACTCCGCATGGCTGCACAGACAAATAAACATTACATTAGTTTTTGCACTTTATTTGGCTAATGTCTCGCTCAGAAAATTGCAAATATCGGTTTGACGGTCAAGCAACAAATTCTTAGTTCTTTCGGTAAAGTCACGTTGAAGGGAAACAACAAAATAATAAAATATTTTATTATTTTGTTGTTGAATATGAATTACTGCAGTCACGAAAGCTTTAAATCAAAGGTCACGCAACAACTCTATTGAAGGACTGTTTTAGAAGTCTTGTGAATTAGATGCACCAGGGGGGCTATCAGACATATGGGATTCATTGCTCGGTGATATTTCTGAATGGCTTTTTTGTCGAATTACACGATGACAATCGCAGAATTTAAAAAACATTGGGGGAAAAAAAGACCTGGGGCAAGTGAAAGGCTGCTTAAGATGTGAATAGCCACTGGCAATATGAATACTCTGGGATTGAACCTGTGTGGTCAGAGTGTATAGGCAGTGTGTAGTGGTACTACGGCATCATCACTACACGTATGGACACACAAAACAACAGCTGCCATTCGCCACTAAGTGGCGGTGACGGCACCGCAGTGCTTGTGCCAGGCTAGGTGCACTCGGTTAGATGTAAACAGAGACACAATAGACAGCACAATAAGCACGGTTGGCTACGCACGGTGTGAAAGAAGTTCAATATACATACAGAGAGACAAAGATCCCCAATATAGCCTTTAATAGATTGACAAGGGCAATTGCCCTTAGCGAGTAACACCTATGGATGCCGATACAGTGCACGAGGGAGTGGGTGGCCAGCACCATGCCCGGCCGCCTTTGTCTCGCCAGTGTTGATATTGACACACCACACCAGGTACTCATTAGTGGCTGAGTCGTCCTAAGGGATGCCCAGGACCGGTTCAGAGAATCGTCACTGATCTTGGCCACGAGCCGGAATTGGAACTCTGGCCGCAAGATTCATAGCGCAGCGTGCTAACCGCTGCGCCACCGCTCCCCACACACATACACACAAATAAAACATGGGAAGCATAGAAAACATTTACAGGCATTGCACATTAGGCATTATACCTACACTTGAATAGTTACTTGAAGTAATTGTTATGATCATCACATACGTGTGCAATCAATCAAGCGGAAGTCGCAGAGAGATGCTTATCTTAAGACACCGTGTACCCGAAGGATAGTATGCAAAAAATGTGTTCTCACTGAAAGGGCACCAATTATGGTGCAGATTACCTCCCCGAGTAATTAAATGCTATCACCAGAATATTGATTATAATTGCTGCAGACAGAACAAACAAGAGACAGACAGCACTCCGAGGAAATACTAATTTTTCACAAGGTCATTAAAGTGTGCAGGCATTTGCTATATATATCTCAAGAGAGAGCTACGTATTTTAATCAGCCACACTGTTTCTACGCACAACCTGAACGTGTAATAATCCCTGCGTGGTCAGCCAGATTCTCACATTGACAAAAGTTTTCATCCCAAATTTGCATCATTAGTCAGACTTGCAGAGACACCATAACCGACTTCTCCACCCCGATGACGAAACAACTCGCTTAAGCCAGCATTCTTCACTAAGTTTCAGAAGGGAGGCCACTTTCGCCGATAAGACATTATCGGTGCGAGGACCGCTACACATTTGAAACCATTGGGGTTTGACAGCAGCAGGATGATGATGATGATGATGCGGGGTGTTTCACAAGTTGTGTGTTGTCGGGGGGAGGGTGGGGGGGGCGCACGTCAGGAACCATCAGGGTTCGCCAGTGGCCCGCGGGCCTTGCAATGAAGAACACTGTGCAAAGCTGATGCGACATTTCCCGGCCGTTTCTTCAAGATGCGAATCTGAGAGGTGGTCAGGCGGCGCGGAGGCCAGGGCACTGAGCCGTCACCGCCGAGGACCCTGGGTTTGAGTCCAGGACGCCATCTGTGATTAAACCGGGCCCTCACTTGTAGCGAGTTGTGGCCTCTCCTGTTGTTTCCTAGATCGCAACGAGCGAGACCATTTGCGATGCACTTGGTTGTGCCGGATATCTGTGCCGGTTATTTATAAACGTGCATTCAGAGTATTTTGGCTCCTACACATTTCGACATTATTAGCCACTTCATTGGGCCATACATTTGTGGCCACGTCGCTTCTGAAAAAAAGAGCTATATAGCTCAGTGGGCCTTACCTGGTAATATAAAAATTGTTAGTAGCATATGAATGTCACGTATCCTGGTTATGTACGTTTCTGCATTCACTGCCATTTAAAATGTTTTTTTAAAACATGGAATGAGACGTGAATCTTCGCCACGGCAATGCTGTAAGACAGGTGATAGGACAGGCAGCGGCAGCTGTGAAATTTATTTTATTTAGCTTATTTACTCAGAGAAGCCTCACCGAGTCTTAAGACTCCTTTTCAGGAGGATTCTGCCAAACTTTTGCAGCATGGGACGATGTGGTTATTTGCAATCCCAATTGAGTAATTTGCAGAAAAGCTGGTTAGTATTGAGATATTTTGCTCAAAGCAGTTACATAGTGTGCAATATTAATTGTTTTATCTATGGGAAGAAACCAGAGAATGCGGGAAGAATCCCATGCAGAACAGGGGGAGAGAGAACATCCAATACCCCCACACAGGGAGACGCCCGAGTCGGCAATCTAACCGTGGCACTCCCTGCCGTGGGACGCAAGCGTTACCACGGCGCCGACCACCCAGCGTCGAACGGGCATCGCGCCCCGCACCTCGGATCTTGCGCTGCAGCCGCTCCTTGCAGGCGAGGATCTCGTTGAGGTCGGAGCGGACGAGCCCTTCGACCCTCGGGCGGCCCTCGGCGCACTCCTTGACGAGCGCCTGGTAGCTGGGCTTCACCTGGCTACGCACCTGCCCGTAGATGCTGTCCTTCACCTGCGGCAGAGAAGCACGCGCAGCCGATCGTGTTTGTTGCCCCCCGCCTCCCCCGCCGCCCCCGCCCGGTGGCAATGTTCAGCACGATGACACAGGGGGACGGTGGATAATCTGGCTCAATGAGCCCGTGCGGCTGTGCGGCCGGTGCTTCATTTCCGCCAGAGCAATCCGTAACGCCAACCGTACAATTATCATGGCACCCAGCCAACACATTCCGTCTCGACTTTCTTCTTTGTGTGGCTGATGCTGAGGCACAGCAACGGCTCTAATTGTAAGTTGAGGTGGTCGGGCCAGATGATTGCCTGCAGCAGCGGAGTGTCCCGAGTGACCGCATTCGAACACCGGAGAGTATTCCATTTTCCATTTGTGCCTCCGGTATTCCCATCTGCTGCCATGGTTCGTGCGGATGCGTGATACTGCAACAACGTTGAGTCCATGCATATCATTGTTATTATCCTGCTCTAGGGATAATTTAGGAGTACAGGGTACAATAATACGAGGTTTTATTACGGATAAGCGTACCCTGTACTCAAGGGGCGGTGCCTTGTGCCAATAATTCGTACTCCGTGACAGTCTATCATTGTGCCGGGTACAGCCTCTTTTGTCAATCCACTCTTGAATGAGGGTGTCCCCGTGCCGTGTGGGTCATAGAGGATATTTGACCATACTTCACTACTCACATGAGTGTGGGTTATTAAAGGTGGAAAGCATAACCTTGGAGCATAGTGCAGTGGACAACGGTGGATTATTCTGCACTGCCCTCTGCAAACATTGCAACCCGGGAGCAGTGGCCAACACCAGTTGTATGCATGGTGGCTGCCCGCCCAAGCACTGTATAGGCTCAAACCCGCTTAGCTTTCAAGATCTGGTGAGAATGGGCGAATGCCAGGTGACTTAGTCACAGACAATGGGTGGCTCGGCGCGAGAGCGAGCAGCTCGCAACCAGACGGTCGCAAGATCAAATCCTGGTTGGGGGTTGACACGGCTCATTATCCCTCCGGGGTGGATAAAATCAGTCCCAATTTGTGGAGAAGCCAACAATAGGAATGTGGAATTCCCACCACTGGCTCAGAATTATTATTTTTTTAAAAAGCATGTAGAAGCATCATCTCGATGTTCATTTGAGCTGGAAATAACTTAAGCCTTTTCTTTTGAAAGAAGTTAAATGAAAGTTGTCAAATGCGCCCAAGTGTTTCCACAGACGAGGTGGGAGGTTGCGTGGTCGGCGCGTGTTTTGTGGATGTACTGGGCCACTTGATGCCGAGTTTTTGACACGGGTGCACCAGGTGCTCGTCGTGTCTGCGGGCCCCACAGACCTGGATCCACGCCTTGAGCTGGTCGCTCGGTTTTCCACGCAGCTTGGACTTCAAGTTGGTCTGCACCACGGGGAGGACATCTTCCATCACCAGGTTACTGAGGATCTGCGGAATGCACGCGAGGGTGCAGTTAGAAAGGTGCGGCCCTGCAATTACTTCATTACGCTACTGCTGGCGGAAGGGGCTTCTGTTAAAACTCAAGAGAGCCCCTCCAGGGTTTTATTGCCAGAAAGGGGTAAAACCTATTCTTATTTTTCATACTTTGACACTGGCAAAAAGGTCCAAGAGATATGGGCCTACTCTTCCATGCTGCCTAGAGGTGGGAGTACCCACGTTTTACCCCACCAGACCTGCCGATCGACTAAACGTGGTGTGCCCATTTAAAATGCTGCTGATGAGTGGATACAGTGCGCGGACGAAGATAAAGATGCTTCCATGAACCATGTGAATGAAAGTAAAATTATTTTTTTAAAGTTAAACTATAGTTTACAGGAAAGTGGAAATCAATTTCTGGAAGAATCCCTCCCCAGACCATGTGAGTCATGGGCTGTTGTTTTCATCATACTTCACCACCCTGGTCAGTGCGGGTTGGTGAAGGGGGGAGGGACTGATATCAATATTGCTCGGCACTAACATTAGCCGTGGCCAGGAATTGAACTCAGGTCACCAGGCACACACACTGCATATATTTGAGGCCGAGTCGACCTGGAGGGACGGAGGTTTCCTGGACTACACTAATACACTCCCTCTCTCTGTCACACACACACATTTGAGGCTAAATCGACCTAAGGGAGGTGTTCAGGACCTCAACAACAACGGCCATTCGCCACTAAGTGGCGGTGACGTCACCACAGCGCTTGTGCCAGGCTACGTGCACGTTGAGGCCACGTGAAAGACCTCACCCACACTCTCGCACAAAGAAAAAGACACAAACACACATCTTAACGCAATGCATTGCTAACCAGTTGCAGAATACGATCAAACGCCTGTTAAAACTGGTACTGTACTGCACTTCAGGGCCTGGTATGTGGGGGGGGGTAGCACCACTACACCTGCCTGCTGGGCTTGCCAGCATTGACGTAGAAACACTGCACCAGATGTTACTTTCAGTTCAACACTGGGTAGTCCCAAGCCAGGTTCAGTTCAGTTGCGAGTTTGAAATTCTCCGGGTCCTCCGGATTTGCTCCTCCACATTTAGAAACAACGTGCGTTTAGAGTGTCTGGCTGCTGTTATAAATGTCTACGCGACAAGCCACTTCGTTGAGCTATCACTTGTGGCCAGGTCGCTTCTGAAAAAGAGCGACATAGTTCAGTGGGCCTTACGTGGTCAAAAAAAAAAATTTAGTTTAAGAAACACTTTAAAAAACAAATGTCACGAATAATTACATGAAATTAGCTAATTAAGCACTAATAATAATAATACAAACTACTTACTCAGTAAAACCACACCGGCGTTTAGAGACTCTTTGTTTACACAAGGGTCGTGGCCATTTAAGTTTATCTGGCTCGTACAACAAAGCGACCCTTGGTGGTTGTGTAGGAGAAAATCGGGGGGGGGGGCCCGAGCACAGAGCAACGTACGCAACTCTAGAAGCCGCGGAAGCTTTAAAGCTCATCAAAACTGCGATTGCACCCGGGGAGTCAGGATAAGAAATGCAACCTTGCAAAGTCGGGAGAGAACTTCGGACTCCCTTGGGACCACTCTTAGGCCGAATGTCAAAAGCCACCATGGAAAAGTGAAGTTATTACGGAGTCTGCTCAGAATCAGAAACTATATTTAAACCGGAGGAATCCGATGCGCTGAGAAGCTCTTTTTCACTCGCAGAGGCTTTCCTCCGACGCGTTTAGATTCCCGAGTTGCCAAACGAGACCGCGTCAAGGCTGCATTCTTCTTCTTTCATACGGCTGCTGATGATGTAGATGGCCGAGCAACAACTACATTTTCACATTCAGGTGGTCAAGGCAGACAACCGCGTCAGGACCAGCACGGTTGGCTACGTACGGCACGAAAGACGTTTAACATCCTGTTCACACAGTACGTATGTATTGCTGTAACGTCTCCTTCGTATCTGTGGCTCGGGCATTGCGTCCTTACACGTCGTGTGGTCTCTGTTCTGGATGACCACGGTGGCACACCGAAGGGTTTTTAGAAATGTTGCAGCCTTCCCTTCTCCCTACCCCCCGTGCTCCCCTCCCCTTCCTCCCCCCACTATGCAAGTTATCTTCCCCCTTACCCCCTTCCCATATAAATATTCATGCCCCCCCCCCCGACCCCGCACGTGGTCCCCAGCTGGCTAGGGCGGTGAACCCGGTGGTCCTCCTTCACGGGGCCCCGTCGCGCCGACGTCCGGGGTTACCGTTCGCGGAGTTCCTGTTCCTGGTCCCGCTTTGCAGCGGGCGCTCGCGTGAAGTCGGCAATAGAAACAAACAAACAAACAAAAAATGCTGCAGCCATAAAATTAAATATTTTAGTTTGATAATTAAATGTTTCGTTTAAGGCTGCAGCCTTCGCCTGGGGGAAGCACCGCGGCGACTTGGCTCCTCGCCTCTGCCCCGGCCCCCCACCGCCCGTGTTGCCGGACGACGGCTGTGCCACCCCCCCACGTCTCACCTCCACCTCGGTGCCGGTACACATGGCCCACGTGCCGAACTCGCCGCCCTCCTGCCGGTAGAGACGCACGCTCTCGCGCAGCGCCAGCACTTCCACCTTTTCGGAAACGCCCGCTGCGCCGCGGCGAGGGTGCAGGAGAGTGAGGGCACGCGCGCGCACACACACAGTCACAAAGATCCCGCTAAATAGGTTAAGAAATAGTATAAAAGCAAACGGCACATATAATTTATGACATGGGCAAATAATAATAATAATACAAATCCTTTACCCGGTAAAACCACACCGAGTTTCTCTAAACTCTTTGTTCGCAGAAGGGTTCTTGGCCATTGAAGTGCATTTGGCTCTACAACAACGCAACCTTTGGGACAAGTATTGTGAGCGGGCAGCTGCGCTGGCCGGCATGGCACACGAGGAGGAGGAGGTGTTTGGCAGCACCACACCCGGCAGCCTTTGCCTCCAAAGTTCTGATGTTTGTTTGCACATGGCACCAGGCAACTTATTTAAGGCTACGTCGACCTAGGGAAGGCCCAGGACTGGTTTCACATATTCAGATATTTGTACCTGATGAACTCCGGTCGAACTCGGGTCGCTGGGTTCATTGCTCACTGCACTAACCACTACACAACTCCCCATTACAACTACGCACGCGCGCGCAGACACCTACAAATGCACACGCGCGCACACATACAAATGCTCAAATGGAATTAACCTTGGTTGCACTCGGAAATTCATTTCTCACTCAATATCTTCCCACGCTGCCTTGGCGTAGGGTTTATTGGCGTAAGGCACTACCACTGGAGCACAAGGGTTCACCTTTCCAGAATCACCCTGTGTTATTGCACCCAATATTCCTACACCACTATAGGCAGGTATGGGACAAAATAAGGCGAGATGATTGTGGCGTTTCAAAGTAATTCCAGCGTTCAGCACTGTTCTGGCTGTAATTAAGCCATTAAATAACAGAGTGAGACAGAGTGTGTGAGAAAGTGAGTGTGAGAGAGTGAGAGCGAGAGAGTGAGAAAGGGAGAGCGAGAGAGTAATAGAGCGAGAGAGTGAGAGAGTAAGCGAGTTAGAGGAAGAGTGAGAGAGCGAGAGAGTAAGCGAGAGAGAGGAAGAGTGAGAGAGCGAGAGATTGAGAAAGGGAGAGCGAGAAAGTAATAGAGCGAGAGAGTGAGAGAGTGAGAAGTAGAGAGTGAGAGACTAAGTGAGTGAGAGACTAAGTGAGTGAGAGGAAGAGTGAGAGAGGAAGAGTGAGAGAGCAAGAGAGCGAGAGAGTGAGAGAGCGAGAGAGTGAGAGTGAGAGCGTGAAAAAGTAAGCGAGTGAGAGGGAGAGCGAGAGAGTGAGAGAGCAAGAGATTGAGAGTTTGAGAGCGGGAGAGCAAGAGATTGAGAGCGAGAGATTAAGCGAGTGAGAGGGAGAGTGAGAGAGTAAGAGAACGAGAGAGTGAGAGCGAGAAACTGAGAGTGAGAGAGTAAGTGAGTGAGAGGGAGCGCGAGAGAGCAGGAGAGCGAGAGAGTGAGGGCGAGAAACTGAGAGTGAGAGAGTGAGAAAGTAAGCAAGTAAGAGGAAGAGTGAGAGAGGAAGAGCGAGAGAGTAAGAGAGCAAGAGAGTGAGAGCGAGAAACTGAGAGGGAGAGCGAGAGAGCGTGAGAGCAAGATAGCGTGAGAGATTGAGAGATTGAGAGCGGGAGAGCGAGGTGGCAGACGAGCGGAAGAGGGTGGGCGCACCTGCGTTGACGTGCCGGATGGAGTCTTTGAGGGCGGCGTGGCACTCGGAGTGCCGTTCGGCCGTCTGGGTGCATAGGTAGACATGCTCACGGTACGGGTGGAGCAGGTAGATGGCGTACGGGGTCGGGCAGTGCAACAGTGGGGAGCCACTCACCTTGCCCTTAGGTTCTGCAATCCACGCACGGGGTATCTCAGTGAATATGTTGTTTTTTAATGTGTCCGTGAGCGAGTGTTTGGAGGGTGCAATCTCTGGCAAAGTGGGTGAGCACACGTGGTGCTTCTGCCCAGTTCAATCAGTTAACCCATTACACTCGGGTATACCCTGTGACCTCCTGCCAGTTGAGTGTTCTACACTGCAACGTGGTCTCAAAGTGTACCTAGCCTGGCGCAAGCGCTGCGCTGACGTCGCCGCCACACCGCTTAGTGGTCAATGGCAACAGTTGTTGCTGAAAGGCGATTATTTCACGATATTAGATCCGTGAAGCAAACAGGAATTGTTCAACACCGGAATATTGTTTGTACAATATCCCCAGTTGATACCGTGTGCTGCAGGAATCGTACGTGATGGAACTTTGCAGATCAAAATCTTATTGTAAGAGTGTAATACACACATCGATTGGTGCAGAGAAGAAGAATCAATGGTTTGGATACGTACACGCTGTACGTTATGGGTTCAAGCCACCCCTGCAGCCACAAAAGATGCTACCATTCCCCCCACACAAAGTAACAAAAATAATTATTGACAGGAGGCGGGGGGGGGGGGAAGCGGGCTGAGCGAATTATTTCTTCCCTAAAAAAAAAAATAGAAGAACGAGATTAATCTGAGTCACTACGGCCAATACGTAATAAAACGTACACTCAAGTTCCTGATGGAAATGAAACCAAAAAGAATTGACACGTATGTGTCCGGTATTCAGAAGGTCGGTCGAGATAACAGGTGACATGAAGACAAGATGCGCCTCACGCAATGCGATGAGGCGATTACACGACCGGAGAATGCGCCCGTGTTGCTTTGAAGACGCAGGGTTGAGTGAGGTAATCTGCACGAATAGCAGTGCCCTTTATTTACCCAAGGAAAGGCTCACTCGCAGGTTTCAGGTTTCTGCAACAGCGTGTTTTGATAAAAACCTACACACGCGAGGGGAATAGCCCTCAGAACAGCCGCACAGATGGATTCAATATATAACCATCCTGGCATCTCCTGGCCACCACGCATTCCCAAATCTGCAACACCTAGCATTCCCCAGGCAAATCACCCATCCACGTAATAACCCGGCTCAAATGCCTGCCTCGCCTCCGAGGTCATTCTGGGCGACTTGTTCGCCGATCGCACCCACCTGCATTGGGGGAGACGGCCACCAGGGACTGGTACTTCTGCAGGGACGGTAGCACCTGGAAGCCGGCGCACCACAGCACCCCGCTGGGCTCCGCGCCGTCCTTGTAGGCCTGCACGCCGGCACGGCACGGCAGGGGGGGGGGGGGACAGCGGCCAACGGCACGGTCACCACCCAACCGAGGCCTGCCTCCTCCGCGAGCCTGGGTTCGAATTCAGCAACACGCCTGTGATTAAACCACGGGTTTCCAAAGCGGGGCCCGTAGCTAGACATTTCGGCCCCCGGGGTACGGTTCTACGGTGGCAAGATGTTGACTGCCTCCCCTGGTATGCAGGAGGTCGTGGGTCCAATCCCGACCCTGACGCCTGCTGTATATTTGGAGTTTGCATGGTCTCCCCGTGGTAACGTGGATTTTTCTCCGGGTCCTCTGGTTTTCCCCTCCACATTCAGAAACCTGCGTTTAGAGGATGTTATAAAGGCACTACGTTGAGCTATCATCCGTGGCCAGGCAGGTTGCGTCTGAAAAATAGCTATGTAGCTCAGTGGGCCTTACCTGGTAAAATAAAATTAGTTTTAGTTTAGGTGCCATCCATTGCGTGCCTGCCCACTCCTGCCCCCCCCCCCCACCCTCATCAAACATTTGAGACATCAGCCACCACCGCTTCAGTCGTTCCTGACAATTCAGTGGCAGCCATTTGGGCTGTGCCATTGTTGGAGGGGCAACCCAGGACGGCCACCCTCCCCTCCCCTCACCACAGCACTGCGCTCAATTGCTCGTGAGTTGATGGTCTAAACCCAGTCGCCAATTAATGCACAAAACCATCGCACATTAAATCTTGGCACTGTACCTAACATAAATAATATACAGCGCCGAGGATGAAGATATCAGCTTGACTGTCATGCCACGAACATTACTCTCACGTGGCAAACAAGTACCACAGCCTACTTTGTGGACCAAAGGTCACTCAAAGGGATCTGGGAGGCAGCTCTGTGATATCCGCTTCTGTGTTCCCTTCCCATGACACCAAGGGTTGCACTGCTTTGCGAGAAATCCCAACGGGATTCTTTGTCAAATGACGTGACGCCAAAAGCACGATCGGGAAATAACTACGGGGAAAATTGCACCAGCAGCGACGACGACAAAACATGTTCCACTCACTCGTCACCTCCTGGACGGTGGGCTGGGTGGTCTAGAAGGGAGCCATCACTCTTACCCCACCAGCATCAGCTTAGATCCAACCTCCACCGTGCTGTGGGAATATTGCCCAGAATGCCAATGAGCGCACCATCTGGTAACACGTGGCCGTGTAAACAAACTCGTGCCAATCGTATGCAGCACCATGGCCATTGTGTTTCAGTGCCGACTGCCAGATTTTAAAACAATTTCTGTAACTGCAAAGCACTTTGCGGAACCAAATTATCTCACGTGGCGTGCTTGCCTCAATTGTGCAAAACGAGCTCAAATGAACAATAACCGTTCCATTTTATTTATTAAATGGCGTCCACCTCATTTGCTCCCTCCTCCTAGCACACAAACCATACTTTGTCCTAACATGACAGACCGGTTTGTAAAGCAACACTCGGTATTGCATTTGTTGTGAACACACGTAGAGAAAACACAGCACACAGAGACCTCCTCCCGTTACCTTCTCCACGCGTGTGTGACATTCACTACAACAGACATTGTGTTTGGTGGGCCAGAGCAGAAAACACGGTGCTGCAACTGTGCTTTGCCTGAACACGTGAATGAATTAAACCGTGAATGTCCACGAATACACGCATAGGCAAAAAACTTTACGGGACCTCCTGTGCCAGTACGAAAATATGAGAATAGGTTTCCCCCTTTTTTCTGGCAACAAAACTGTTGTTAAGATGTTAAAACACCAAACTGAAACCTTTTACAAGGAATCATGTCTGCATGAACAGCAATGCTTGTGGACAGAATGCAAGCAAAAAACACACTGATAATATATGCATTGTCTTTTAAACTGATTGGTCCACACCAGAGACAGTTATCTTTCGAGCCTCGTCTCAAATGATGTTTGACGTCCTCTGGTCTAACACCGTTTGAGACTAAGCTCGAAGGAAAGCTGTCTCGTTTGGACCAATCAGTTTCAAAGACAATGCACATACTGTCAGAGTATTTTTTTGTTTGCATTCTGACCAAAAGTATTGTGGTTAATGCAGACACGATTCCTTGTAAAAAGTTTCATTTCGGTGTTTTAACATCTTAACACCTGTTTTGTTGCCAGATAAAAGGGGAAACCCTATTCTCAGACAAAGAACTCTTCAATTTGACTTTGTCGGTCATGAGGGAAAGTGTTGCTTGCAAAAACCTATTGAGGTTGGCACGGTACATGAGGGAGTTGGTGCAGCCACCACCACACCCAATGCTTATGTACACACAGCACACAAGCTCGTTTCCAGATCAGCCTGGTTAAACCAAGGATGGATCGTAGGCAGGCCTGCCTGAATGTTTCTAACCAGCGCAGATGTTCCTTCAAGAGGGGTCCAAGTTTCGCAAGCATACAGTAGAGAAGGGAGGGCATGACTGTGGCCGAGAAGACCTGGAGCTTCAAATGGAACATGATCGTGAGCAGAGGGCCAGCGACCCCAAATGCACGAATAATAATCTAGAGCCCTGACCTACTGATGTTATCACAAGCCTTGACCAGGTCAGTAAAGCAGAAATTCCCTACAATTCCCTACAACATCCTCACCCTCCCTCAGTAGTTCACTTGTGAGATAATCTCTGCCGAGTGCAAGTACTTGACATCTGTGAAAAAGAGCTTCATAGCTTATGGAATTCCGCCAGTTATAAATAAATCTTCAGATTCTGAAGTACAAATACAAAGATCTCCGGTATAGCCTGAGTAGACTATCGGGGCAAGTGCTGTTAAAACCACCTACGATAGCCGGCATGGCACACGAGCACATGGGTGGCTAACACCACGCCCGGTTGTCTTTGTCTCCCAAGTGACGATTGTTATACACCACACCAGGTACTTATTTGAGGCCGAGTCGGCCTAGGGGTGGCCCAAGGCCAGTTCAGATTATCGTCACTGGTGTTGGAGACCGTGAGCGGGAATCCAACTCGGGACACCGGATTTGTAGTGTAGCGTGCTATCCCCTACTCGCACAAGGGTTCTCAAAAAGATCCCCTGTACAACCTTAACAGACTGTTGGTGTAAGTGCTGTTAGCGAGCAGCTATGCAGGACAGCACGGTACAGGAGGGAGTAGGTGGCCAGCACCACGCCTAACCATCTTTGTCTCTCCAGTGGTGATGTTTACATACCACACCAGGTATCCATTAGAGCAGTGGTTCTTAACCTGGGGTGCACGCACCCCCTGGGGGTGCGAGACGTGGCCAGATTTTTTTAGAAGGTAAATCATCGAAAACACAAATTAAGCATGGGCACGTAAGTACAACTACTTTGTTTCATCAAACCCGATGCATTTATTAACAATATACATTTTTTTTTTTACAATTGAGAACCAAAGAGGTGCAAGCTTAAGAACCACTGCATTAGAGGCTCGGTCAACCTATGGGTGACCCAGGACCAGTTCAGTTATTGGTCAGCGGTGTTGGCCGTGAGGGTGAATAGAACTCGCACACAAGCGCACCATGAAGAGAAACACAAATCGGCGTTGCATTCGGGTTAACCAAATTTTACCTGCTTGGTCTCATAGTAGGCCACTTGGTAGTCAGTTTGTACCACAAAATATTGCTCCTTCCACTTCTTCTTGCTGGGCAGGTATTGGAACACGTAGCCCTCCCAAGAGGCTTGCAGCTTCAGCGGGGTCTGTGGTGGCACACAACGACGCGCAAGTTCAGTTGGTCAAGTTAATTTTGGTTTAACCAGGTGATAACTCGTGAGAACCCACCTGGAGACCAGGATCAGTCTCACTTCCGAAAGTGACCCAGGCCATCAGAATGTCAAAGGTAAAATAACAAAAGTACGACAATTAAGTAAATCGAAATGAGGGCAATAAACAACTTTATCACATAAGAAATCGAAACATATTGAAAGAAATGACAGCTCCGCATCAAATTGCGTTTTAGGTGGGAGAGTGTAACCAAGGGCGTACGTGTGAGGAGCAATTGTACGTCCAGGTGTGTGTGGGGCATGAAGAGGGAATGAGTGAGAACCAGGCGAGTTGTTGCCCTCGCTCGGTACAGTGCACGTTAGTGCTGTGGGGCATCTATCGACAGACCGAGGGTGTTGGTCCTGAACAGACAGGTGACACAGTCCGAGTTTGAATACTGCGTCACCACTTTGCAATGATGCCCGATTGATAGACTTTTTTTTATTTCACACGATTGTTATTTCAGCATTTGACGTCGTGTTACGAACCTCGAAGCAAGGCTATTGTCAGCCACCTTACCCATAAATCAAGCCCAACTCATATGCAGCACACTCCGAGTCAACAGAGGAACACTCCACAATAGACAAGGCCACAGATAAAGCATGGATTCATAAGTAATGCATTAGCATCGTCATAAATCACTCCGACAATCTTGGCAAGGCCTTTACTAATGTATTGTTGTTAAAAAAAAAGAAAACAGCCTTTTCCCTTGAAAAACCAGTACGGTATGAAAGTCGCGTCCCAATGCAACAACGACCTTTCATAAGACCTTCTCACCTTTGTGTTTGGTTCTTTTTAACCATCTATGTTCATGCTGGAGTGATTTTGGACGTAATTTTTTATATATATACGGCTGCAGCTTAATTTTGACACACCAGTGCAACAGTCTAATTCATCATCTACAACAGTCCTGTGGACACCCACCGCTGGCAGACGACCTCCCCCCCCCCAAAGTTGCGTCAGTCGCGGGGGGCTCTTGTTTGGTCAAACTTCACCGCGCGGGCCAGTGCGAGTTGGGGACGGCACAGGACGGTAAAGGAATGTATTTTGCTGCACTACCCTCTGCTGCCCAACACGTAGCCCCGCGAGCACCATGGCAACCGGTTTGTGCACGGCGGTGGTCACCCATCCAAACACGACCCGGACTCCACCCTCCTTAGCTTCCGAGATCTGACGAAATTGCACGCATTCGGGGGGGTTGTCGTCAAAGGTTTCATAATTGAGCCATGCTGGTCAGCGTTGGTTAGCAAAGAGGTAGCCCCCCCCCCACCCCCCCCCGAGCACCGGTTGGGATATTAGTCACCAACGATGTTAACCGTGACTGTGAATTAAACTAAAATAGCTGGATTCATCACAGTGGGATAACAACTGCGCCACCACACCTACAGGACTGCTACGATCACTGTCTATACGCCGCATGTGCATCGTGTTTACGAGTACACGTCTTCGGCCGAAGACATGGCAGCAGTGAGACAGCACAGTGGTGAGATGTTAACTACCTCGCCTGGTATACAGGGGATCGTTGGTTCGATCCCGACCCTGACACCTGTTGTACATTTGGAGTTTGCATATTCGCCCCGTGGTCGCGTGGATTTTTCTCCGAGTCCTCTGGTTTTTCCCTCCACATTCGGAATCAATGTCACGCGTTTAGAGTATTTGGCTGCTATAAGTTTCCACGTAAGTCATTTCGTTGAGCTATCATTTTTACACCACAGAGTTCAGAGGTCGCTACTTTACAGGGGCCTTTGCCCAACAGTGGTGGTAAGTTACAGGCTGCCAACAACGTGATTAAAAGAGAGTGCACAATTCAAAAACAGCGTTATTACATATTCTTGGTTCTTTCGGTAAAGTCACGTAGAAGGGAAACAATAAAATGATAAAAATATATTGTTTTATATTTTTATTATTTTATTGTTTCCCTTCTACGTAACTTTACGAAAAGAACCAAGAATATGAATCCCTGCAGTCACGAAATCTTTAAATCAAAGCGTTATTACAGTATATTTATTTAGTTATCATCGTTGAACAGCTCCACGGACCCCATTTGCACGTGACTCGAGCGACCGCAATCCACTGCCGTGAGTTGATTACGAAGAGTAATTCGAGTCGGCGAAACAGTCGATGCCATCGTTGGCTATCACGCCATTCTCACAACTATGCTGCATCAAAGGGATTTCCATCATGACATCTCCTCCCCGAGGGCATCGACGCACCACAGTCGTGACATATGCCGCACGGCTCTGTGGCTTAGATAAGGTCAAGAAAATCCAATAGATTGCATGGTTTACGCCTGATGTCTCACGAAACACAAAATCTATTTCCTAATACATTTACAACATCTTAGCACACGCATGCATCGCGCGCCGGCGAAACATTAACTACCTCGCCTAGTACACAGTAGGTCGTTGGTTCAACCCCGACGCCTGTATCTTTGGAGTCTGCATGTTCTCCCTGTGGTCGCGTGGATTGTTGTCCGGGTCCTCCCACTTCCCTCCACATTTAGACGGTAAAATATAAAGAAAACAAATGCATACATACGCAAAGTACTCAAGTGGGACTTACATGACAATCCTCACCCCCTACCGGCACACTAATGCCCCAGGTCACTCTTGCAAATGAGACAAAATTCAGTTCGAACTATTTAAACTCACCAATCACCACCAACCTGGCAGTTTCGAAAAATTGTTATTGGGTGGGGGGGGGGTAACAATTCAATTGCCTTTAGAGTGCATGCAGTGTCTGCAGTTGTTGAAGAGTTTATGTGAATCAATTACACATGAGACTTGTGATAATAATTTACAGCGCTTCATCAAACCACTGCTGGATAAAGGCCTCCCATGCTTGAGCGAGTTGTGGGGGTTGTTTGACCACACTTCACAGTGCTGCTCAGTGCGAGTTGGTGATGGAGAGGAGCCCAAGACCAGTTCAGATGTCATAAGCCGCTGACATTAGCCATGGCCGGGAAACGAACTCGGGCCGCCGGGTTCAGAGAGCAGCGCCGCTAACCACTGCGTCAACCACTACGTCTCGCAAAATATGTGAATGGAAAGTCATCCTTTCTCTCATATTCATAATTCGATGCATCCATCGAGGGAATTTAGAATCAATGGTAACCAATGTGCCACCACTTGCCATAATGCAGTACAAACAATAAATAGTACGTCAACGCAGGTCAAGGCGTAGTCCTGTGCGTGTTTGCTCACAACGCCACCAGCGTGAGGGCCTCCACGAGAGGGGTATTTGTTTAACCACGTTGATGGGACGTGTTGGAGGAGAATATATACACGTGAAAACAAAGACAGAGATCCCCCCCATATAGCCTTAACAGACTTTTAGGGAAAGTTGCTGTTAGCGAGCGCCTGCGAAGGCCGGCACGGCGCACGAGGTGGTGGGTGGCCAGCGCCACGCCGATCGCCTTTGTCTCCCCAGTGGCGATGTTTTTACTACACACCGCACCAGCGACTCATGAGGCTGAGGGGAGGCTGAGGACCGTTTCAGATAAGCGTCACTGGCATTGGCCCCGAGCGGGAATCGAACGAACCACCAGGTTTGTAACACAGCATGCTAAACCGCTACACTCCCCACAAAAATATATACACACACATACACGTAAATACATACCCATCGTACGTATAAGAATACTATAGATTTTACAGAGAGATGCAAGGAAGCATTTACAATCGGGACATTTATGAGAAATAACAAATCAACTTAAAATTGTATGCCCTACGTAGTTAACCCACATTATCCAGAATTGGGCCCGCAAAGGGGGCGGATCACATTACCCCTCTATACATAGCCCTATTTGCACACACAATGCATCATTCAGGCCATCGTGTGGCCCCTCCAGTACAACACGGACAGGTCCGATGACATTCCGGTATCATGGAGACACATGCGGGCCTCAGGGTGTGTCTGATGGATGTGAAATATTCTATTCTCGTCATCTTCGGCAGACGACATGCAGCGCTACGTTCCCATCAGACTCTTGCACTATAGCAAGCAGTTTTTTTTTTTAATGGGTACTAACTATTAAGAGTGATTAATTCGCATACATCGCAGCGTCAGAGCCACATGTGCATAACCAAGTACGGTCTTTTTAGAATTGCGTTTGAGGGCTGGGTGTGTTAGGTGTGGTCTGCGATTGTATACACTGCTGCCCGTCACGTCAATCCTGGAAGACTCATTGCACAGCATCGTCACTATGATCATTATGTTTTATAGTTCAAGGTTGTTGCCATGAGATCACACACACAAACTTAGTTTAATGTTTTGCAATGCCATAGACACAGGATCTGTAACGCTGGTCGCCAGCTCTCATAGGAGTGATAGTTCACAGCCCTTTGTCGATCCACTGCTGGATGAAGGCATCCCCAGTCTGTGTCACTCACAGAGGTTATTTGTAGTCATACTTCACCGCGCTGGTCCGTGCGGGTTGATGAAAGGGGGGGCGGTTGCCGAGCACCATTTCAGAAACCACTGCCCACTGATGTTGTTAGCCGTGGCCAAGGACTAAACTCAGATCGCCGGGTTCACAGCTCACATTGCGTTGCCTACTGGTGTCCAATGCAGTAGCAGTTGTGGTTCTTCACGAAGTAGACGCATTGTATCGCAAAACTGCATTTGTAATTCGCCTTCATCGGTGGCCTCCTCCTGGGTCACAAAACAGATGGATGGCTCAGTGTGTGATCAATTGCCATCACCCACAATCCCATCTCGTGAAGACCAGCGTAGTGGAGATCGGGAAGATATAATTGCTCAACCCGAGCTATAAATGCGATAATACTTGCATTGCATTTGCACTGTGCGCCTTTTGACATTCTCTGGTTTAACACTGGTGGTGAGGCAAGGCCATAAAGAAAGCTGTCTCTGGTGTAGGCCAATCAGTTTCAAAGGCAATGCCAATATATTATCCGAGCACGTTTTTTTGCATATTTTTTTTCCAAAACGACGTGTAGTTAATGCAGACCTGATGTCTTGCCAAAGGTTTTATTGCCGGAACAGATAAAACCTATTTTTTTTCATTTTGATACTAGAAAAAAAAGGTCCCACAGATGTCGTGGAAACCACTCACGACCTGGTGGTGCGACATTGTTCATAACCTCTGGGGGCAGGGGCGGAGCCAGGATTTTGACTTTGGGGGAGCCGACTTCAATATTCTGAGATATCCAGTGTGTTATGTTTTCCAATGGGCGCCACAAATGTATAAAACAAATTTTATTGGATTTGAACGCGGAGTTTATTAATAGGTCGGGAGCCGCTGATGTGGCTAATAAGTTCGTAAAGTTCGAAGGCTGCCGCTCAAGCAGCCTGCAGGGCAGCACAAGGTGGCAGCCTGCAGGGCAGCACAAGGTGGCAGCCTGCAGGGCAGCACAAGGTGGCAGCCTGCAGGGCAGCACGAGGTGGCAGCCTGCAGGGCAGCACGAGGTGGCAGCACAAGGTGGCAGCCTGCAGGGCAGCACAAGGTGGCAGCCTGCAGGGCAGCACGAGGTGGCAGCCTGCAGGGCAGCACAAGGTGGCAGCCTGCAGGGCCAGCACAAGGTGGCAGCCTGCAGCATTTTGCAGCAGCCGGATATCCGGTTATCCCGATTAGCGACTTTCCCAAAATTTCAAGGGGGGGCTAGGCCCCCCCCAGCCCCCCCCAGCCCCCCCTGTGGCTCCGCCCCTCTCTGGGGGTGACCCCAGCCGTGACCTCAGGTGTGGCTGCGCGTGCCGGCTCACCTTGCGTGGCACGAGCTGTGGCTGAGGTTCAGACCGCTCGTCCATTTGGCTCCGCACGGAGTTGAAGAGCGCCACGGCATACTGCTGCTTGTACAGCCGGCCCAGCTTCTCCAGGCACCTTTGGGTCCTCTCTGCAACAAAAACACACACACAAGGCGGCGTTCACGAGCGACTTGTAGGACTGGACGGGAGGTTCGCGACGGAGGTGATAGTGACATGTACACTTTGAACTTCGCCGTAGCCTTTGATCCATGCATCTCAGCAAAGGCCACGTAATACAGGCAGTGCAGTTCAAGTGAGATTAAGTCTTTACGAGGTCCCAATAAAAACGTTCGAAGCTCGCTATTGGCAAACCCACGCCCGGTATACTGTCAGACAAGCAAAATCACTTTATTTTACCAGATGTGCAGTGACTCTCTAATTTTGGAAATGTCTCCTTTTCTGCGTGCCCTAAGTATACTGGGAGTTCAGTGTCTGAGCCCTTTATTCTCGGTTCTTAAGCCTGCATGTACAGTATTATAGTACGATGGTGTGTTAGTCTCTGTCTTGGGTCAGAGTGCATTGAAAAATAATTCAAATTCGATCTAACAAAAAATATACTGAAAACCAGAAGACACTGCCTTAAGCTCATAATCAGTTGTTTGATTTACTCGAGGAATTCAATATATATTACTTTCTAAACCACTGCAACATTTTAGGCTAAAGTTGTACAACAAACACAGCACGTAGGACTGTTATTCTGTTTTCTGACATCATCTCACACACATTTTGTGTACTATTTATAACAACGTGCATTTTTTACCTGTTTCGTGTTCATGCCGCTAGAATGCTGCGAATGTTCCCAAGCATGCACAACTCTGCCTTATAATTACTCCAAAGCGATGTGTCGAAGCCAGTAAGCATGCGCATATGTTTTATTGCTCCATTTCACTCCGCAGTCAGAGAGAATGATGACGATTGTTGCTGCAACGCAACATGTGGGCTCAAGATTGCAGCGGGTAAATTATACGGCTATCAATTTCCCCCCTCCCCCCCCCCCAAGGGTCATGGTCCCCATGCAATTCGATGGCATTGAACTTTACAGAAAGCAATTGAATATTGACTACACGCCAATAGCTGGCTTGCCCCATTGGTGACTTTCCTGTGTAACGCAATAATGAACTCTGAACTCTGCGCACCTGGCCAGTCCATTTCCACCTTCAATAGACTGAGGATCTGTAAAAATAATAGAGCAGTGGCCCTATTTTTCGTCACTACCTGTGACTGCCAGATTGAGTAAATTCCCACCGGCAATGGACACTCCGAATTTGTGCGAGACAGCCAATTCCAAACAATCCGTCCACATTACACCTCATGTGGGAGCAATACTAACACGCGGTAACAACAATTACCATGATTAGCCTCCTGCTGCAAAGAATTGTAGCAATACATGTACAGCATACTGTGTTCAGATGTAGCGATACATTGTTGGTGCATAAATATTTACTATATATAGTGCACGGAAATGTGCTCTCAATTGTTGGATGAACTTTAAAATCCTGAAAGTCAGCCCTAGATGCGAAATTTTGGATGATCCGGAAATATCTTATGTTTCAGATTGATCGAAACACTGCAAGTCCACGTCACGTCCGTCCTCTTTCCCACAGAGAGTACTGTCGTGTCACGTGGCATCGAGTGATGTCACTCTTATCTACACAAATACATCTTGGATCAGTACATCATGTAAATAATCCGAAAATCCAAAAACGATCCGAAATTTTCCTTAACAACCCTGCATAGCATAATCTGACACAAATGCATATTTGTAGGCCAAACCTAAATTCTGCACACAAAAAAAAACAATTATAGCCATTAAAAAACAACTCTCGCTATCAAGGCCGTAGCCATGGAGCCCAACATTCGGGGGGACCAAATCTTCCAGGGGGTCTGGGGGGTCCCCCCCCCCCCAGAAAAAAAAATCTGAATTTGAAAACGAATTTCTTGCCATTTCCTGCCTAAAATATAAAAAAATTCCCTAGCACATAGGATGGACTTTGTATTTATTTTTAAACAATAATGTCTAATAGTGTATTGTATTACATTGCTCTGTTTTTTCTTTTTACCTTTTCTTGTTTCATTGTAATGCAATGGCAGAGCTTAGGGATTAATAAAGTACAACCATAACCACAATCGTATAAACAGAAATCTATATATAGCAATATATTGGGGGGGACATCTTGAGCATATTTGAATATTGGGGGGGATGTGTCCCCCCCAATATATATATAATTACAAGCCTTGCTTGCTACACAATCAGTAAAAGATGATAATATATATGGGGAGGAGAGCTGTGGCACAGTGGTTAGCACACTTCTCTGTGAACCCAAGCCACTTCCACAGCTGGATTATTGGCCACGGCTAACATCAAAAGCGAGTGCAAACCCACACTGACCAATAGCGATGTATCGGACAACACGACCCCCATATTAAACGGGAAGCCAGTGGAGTTGGAGCGGTGCAGTAGAGATTAATCGATGGGGAGATTGAAAAATTAACTTCGTGCAGAAACATTTTATTATACAGCATTGACTAACCACCGTACTGTATATGACTATGCATCTATGATCAAATATTCTGAAATATACACGGGATCCTCGTAAGTTCTCAAAAAGCTCAGCAAAGTGAGCCTAGATGGTGCTTAGATGGATGACCAGCCATACACATGGCCAGGTCGATCGTTGTACGTGGTTGAGGGGCTATGTTGTTTGGTGGTCAGCGGCTGTCAGTGCAGAACAATCCATTGTTGGGAAAGTGCTTCTATGTTTCCACGTCTATGCACCCTGCCTTCACCGACCCCGCACCAACCAACGTGTGAAGCATGTTCGATATATCCACCACGGCCTGCAATAGTGAGGCAGCCGTTTATCCAGCAAGTGGATTGACAAAAAAATGGCTTTGCTGGGGCCGTATACAAGATTGTACACATACAGTATTACATGACGTTTCTTCTACTGTATCTCAAAAAACACCTTTGGGCACAACACACAAATATTTGTCCAGGAGTTTCATTACATTTGCTTTTGCAACGTCTCTATTTTAATTACATTAATTTGCTCGCGAAATAGCCGAGGGTGTTTTTTTTTCTCTCCTTTTAAGTCTAGGGTTGTTATTTTTGTTCCTACGCCCCTGCGAGTGACGTGGGTGCGTTTTGCCAGCTCTCGCACACCCAGCCATCACGTGAACTCTCCATCGCGCGGGGCAAGGATCCCGCCTGTGGGAAGGAACTGCTTGTGCACATATGGAATGATGCGGGTTTGCAAAGCCAGAGCCTTCAAAAAGACGACGTCCAAAAGAAGTGTCACCAAATAGCAACAACAACAACAACAACAAAAAAACCCGGATTATTTTCTGGCCTCTGCCCACTCGTTAGCTTCACCGTCACGACGCGTCAAAGGAGGGCCTCTCCAAGTCTTCTCTCGCGGTTCCACGATGTGACGAATCCATCTGGCCACCTGCACGGGAGCCGATTTCATTGCTCCCATCTCATCGCTGGATGTCCCCTCGGGACGCATCCCGTTCCTCGGCTGCCGCTCCGTCACGATTTTTTGACCATTGGCCAATCACACCCCTTCCAGCGACACGTGCTGCCCAACTCACTCACTTTTTCTTAACAGTTTGAATTATATTTTGATTTAAAGCTTTCGTGACTGCAGTGATTCATATTCTTGGTTCTTTCGGTAAAGTCACGTTGTTTCCCTTCAACGTGACTTTACCGAAAGAACCAAGAATAGTTTGAATTATGTCTTTAGTATGCGAATGTTATCTCAGCACGTGTGTTCTCATTGTGCCTTACACGAAAATACCAGCTGCATAGTTGCGTAAAAAAAAACATCTTGAGCTACCATCAGCGCTGTAAATGTCATCTGATTACATGCATGTTACACTTAGGCTTTGTTGTGTGTGCCAAACTAAATTCTTCCAAAACAATGCTTTTGAAAAAATGTATATGTATTTTTTCATCCTTACAATGTATTATTACACTGGAGACCAAGTGAGTTTTTTCTTTCATCTAAAAGCCATTACCTTCTGTTCATGTTATCTCTCACCATGTGAAAGAAAAAAACTAAACTATCATTTCCGGTATTGTGAAGGTGACGCACGATATTAAACTATCCGATGAGCGACGTCCACTTCTGACTCTGGCAAGCCACGCGTGCACACATCAGCTTGAAACGTCACTCCCCGAATCTCGAGTCTGCCCTTGCCATGACTCTTTACTCTATTCAACCTGTGCCGTGGCTTTTCGTTTAAAAAAAAAGCGACAAATTCACCCATCGCTCAAATATTTCACGGAGTGGCATAAACTGGCTTCCATCCTGTCGCTTACACGCGATGACTTTCATGCCCCTTATGTGAAAGTGGGAAGTGACAGGGTCCCCTGGTCAATGGTCCATCAGGGACCCCCGCCCCCACCAGCGATGAGCATAGATGGGAAGCCGCCACAACACAGCTGGTGTCCAGCAAGGGGTCCCCACACAGTTCAGAAGAGGTCTGGCGGCTTCATTCGTTGCATGCCCTGAAATATCACCCCACTTTTCGTACTGCTGAACATATTAGACGGCTTTGTCTGTTTGCCTCCTACTTGGTTAGACAACCCTTGGGGGCCGTCCATAAATGACGTCACACACCTAGGGAGGGGGTCAGACATTTGTGACGATGTGTGACGAGGGGGGGGGGGGGGTTGAGAAATGTGAACGTCACATCAAAATCCGCAACTTTAAATAAATATAGACAACACGTTCTACCTAATTAAATACATTTTTTCTCCTACAACATCAGAGTGCAGCGCCACATTAAATACGCACTACAATGACAATAGTTTAAAGCGATTTGAAGCATTTTTATTTTTTTGGGGGGGGCAGAGCTTTGTGACGTCATATTTGAGGGGGGGGGGGTCTGACTTTTTGTGACGCCGTGTGACGAGGGGGGGTCAAAATCGTCCAAAATCGCGTGACGTCATTTATGGACGGCCCCTTGGGGATGTATGGGATGGTTTAGGTGGCAAAATGGAAGGGGGTGGTAGGTTTGCAAATGCGAATTTACATTTATTATAAAAAGGTTGTGTCTACGAACATAACCTACTGGCTCTCCA